AGACCAGAGAGAGACCAGAGAGAGACCAGAGAGAGAGACCAGAGAGAGACCAGAGAGAGACCAGAGAGAGACCAGAGAGAGACCAGAGAGAGAGACCAGAGAGAGAGACCAGAGAGAGAGACCAGAGAGAGACCAGAGAGAGAGCAGAGAGAGACCAGAGAGAGTCTCTCTCTGCTTGATTGGGCGGCACGTGGGCGGCACGGTGGCTGAGTGGATAGCACTCTCGCCTCTCAGCAAGAAGGTCCTGGGTTCGAATCCCGGTCGGACCAGGGCCTTTCTGAGTGGAGTTTGCATGTTCTCCCCGTGTCTGCGTAGGTTTCCTCCGGGTACTCCGGTTTCCCCTACCACTAAAAATATGTCCAATAGTTCTGGCATGCGCCTCCTGTACTGGCCCCGCTCCCATCTCTGTGTGGAGTGAGAGACAAATGCCCAAAATTAACAATTGTAAACCGCTTTGAGACTCAGATCTGCAGTGAAAAGGCGGTATATAAATAAAAACTTACTTACTTACTTACTTACTTACTTGATTGACACGGCTGCGGGGAGTTGATTAAGACAGGCTGAGTAAGGCGTGGTCAAGCCTGGTGTGATAACGTCGGTAGTCTACCATCCTGAACCTCCGCTTAAGCTGCATTTGTCTGATCCGTCACAGACAGAGCTGCAGAGGGTTTTCTCCAAAGCCACGTTTCCTTTGATGAAAGAGAATAATTGTAGATTGTTTGTGTGCAGGACATCTTCCTCGTGTTCGATAAAAACAAGAGCCAGAGCCTCGAGTACAAGGAGGTGGGACCAGCACTGAAGGCTGCAGGTGAGAGACCAGAGAGAGACCAGAGAGAGACCAGAGAGAGACCAGAGAGAGACCAGAGAGAGAGACCAGAGAGAGACCAGAGAGAGACCAGAGAGAGACCAGAGAGAGACCAGAGAGAGAGACCAGAGAGAGACCAGAGAGAGACCAGAGAGAGACCAGAGAGAGACCAGAGAGAGAGACCAGAGAGAGACCAGAGAGAGAGCAGAGAGAGACCAGAGAGAGACCAGAGAGAGACCAGAGAGAGACCAGAGAGAGAGCAGAGAGAGACCAGAGAGAGACCAGAGAGAGACCAGAGAGAGAGCAGAGAGAGACCAGAGAGAGACCAGAGAGAGACCAGAGAGAGAGACCAGAGAAAGACCAGAGAGAGACCAGAGAGAGACCAGAGAGAGACCAGAGAGAGAGACCAGAGAGAGACCAGAGAGAGACCAGAAGAGAGAGACCAGAGAGAGAGAGAGACCAGAGAGAGACCAGAGAGAGACCGGAGAGAGAGCAGAGAGAGACCAGAGAGAGAGACCAGAGAGAGCAGAGAGAGACCAGAGAGAGCAGAGAGAGACCAGAGAGAGACCAGAGAGAGAGACCAGAGAGAGAGACCGGAGAGAGACCAGAGAGAGGCCAGAGAGAGACCAGAGAGAGACCAGAGAGAGAGACCAGAGAGAGACCGGAGAGAGAGCAGAGAGAGACCAGAGAGAGACCTGAGAGAGACCAGAGAGAGACCAGAGAGAGAGAGCAGAGAGAGACCAGAGAGAGAGCAGAGAGAGACCAGAGAGAGAGACCAGAGAGAGCAGAGAGAGACCAGAGAGAGCAGAGAGAGACCAGAGAGAGAGCAGAGAGAGACCAGAGAGAGACCAGAGAGAGACCAGAGAGAGACCAGAGAGAGAGCAGAGAGAGACCAGAGAGAGACCAGAGAGAGAGCAGAGAGAGACCAGAGAGAGCAGAGAGAGACCAGAGAGAGAGCAGAGAGAGACCAGAGAGAGACCAGAGAGAGACCAGAGACCAGAGAGAGACCAGAGAGAGACCAGAGAGAGACCAGAGAGAGACCAGAGAGAGAGCAGAGAGAGACCAGAGAGAGACCAGAGAGAGAGCAGAGAGAGACCAGAGAGAGACCAGAGAGAGACCTGAGAGAGACCAGAGAGAGAGAGAGACCAGAGAGAGACCAGAGAGAGACCAGAGAGAGGCCAGAGAGAGACCAGAGAGAGACCAGAGAGAGACCAGAGAGACCAGAGAGAGAGACCAGAGAGAGACCGGAGAGAGAGCAGAGAGAGAGAGCAGAGAGAGAGAGAGACCAGAGAGAGACCAGAGAGAGGCCAGAGAGAGACCAGAGAGAGACCAGAGAGAGAGACCAGAGAGAGAGAGAGAGACCAGAGAGAGACCGGAGAGAGACCAGAGAGAGAAGAGACCAGAGAGAGACCAGAGAGAGACCAGAGAGAGGCCAGAGAGAGACCAGAGAGAGACCAGAGAGAGAGACCAGAGAGAGACCGGAGAGAGAGCAGAGAGAGAGCAGAGAGAGAGACCAGAGAGAGCAGAGAGAGACCAGAGAGAGACCAGAGAGAGACCAGAGAGAGACGAGAGAGAGAGCAGAGAGAGACCAGAGAGAGACCAGAGAGAGACCAGAGAGAGACCAGAGAGAGACCAGAGAGAGACCAGAGAGAGACCAGAGAGAGACCAGAGAGAGACCAGAGAGAGAGACCAGAGAGAGACCAGAGAGAGAGACCAGAGAGAGACCAGAGAGAGAGACCAGAGAGAGACCAGAGAGACCAGAGAGAGACCAGAGAGAGAGACCAGAGAGAGCAGAGAGAGACTAGAGAGAGACCAGAGAGAGACCAGAGAGAGACCAGAGAGAGACCAGAGAGAGACCAGAGAGAGAGACCAGAGAGAGAGACCAGAGAGAGACCAGAGAGAGACCAGAGAGAGACTAGAGAGAGACCAGAGAGAGACCAGAGAGAGACCAGAGAGAGACCAGAGAGAGAGACCAGAGAGAGACCAGAGAGAGAGCAGAGAGAGACCAGAGAGAGACCAGAGAGAGACCAGAGAGAGAGACCAGAGAGAGACCAGAGAGAGAGAGCAGAGAGAGACCAGAGAGAGAGACCAGAGAGAGAGACCAGAGAGAGACCAGAGAGAGACCAGAGAGAGAGAGCAGAGAGAGACCAGAGAGAGACCAGAGAGAGACCAGAGAGAGACCAGAGAGAGAGACCAGAGAGAGACCAGAGAGAGAGACCAGAGAGAGACCAGAGAGAGACCAGAGAGAGAGACCAGAGAGAGACCAGAGAGAGCAGACATGTTCCTTGCTGTCCGCAGAGTGACAGAGTGAGCCTCTGTCTGTGCAGGGATCTCTGTGGATGATGTGGTGATGCAGTTGGTGGGTCTCAGGTACACGGAGCCAGACCTCACCATCAGTTACCCAGGGTTCCTCTACGTCCTCATGAAGCTGGAGAGGATGATCCGTAAGAACACACACACACACACACACTAGAGCCCTGCACGGGCCTATTATCTGGGCCCGAGCCCGGCCCTGGCCCGAGGGGGTGGCGCCCCAGCCCGGCCCGGCCCGATATGGTTTCTGAATTTTCAGGCCCGAAACCCGCATCAAGCCCGCCTTTTTTTTTTTTTTGTAACCTCCCATAACAATGTTTTAGCGTAGTATATAGTGCCGCGCACTGATATGAACGCAGACTTAGCTAGAGGGCGGAGTTATACATGGTAGTGATGTGTTGCAATGAGTTCTGTGTGTGCGGAGTGGTGCAGAGTGAACGGCCACATCTGTATGATGCCCCCGATGCTGCAACACATCTGCACATTACATAAGTAATGCTATGTGCCGTCAATGACAACACTACACAGAACAACAAACACTACTGCGTGATAGAACGCTATATTCAGTGGGTGCGCTCGTAAATCTATTCTGCCGCTCTGAAAATGAAGAGCCCGAGCCCGCCCCGTGTCCGAGGTCATTATGCGGTCATCGGCCCGAAGCCCGGCCCTCGGGCTGTCGGGCCGTCGGGGCCCTCGGGCCAAGGGCTCAAGTGCAGGGCTCTAACACACACACACAGACACACACACACACACACACTTATTTTTGTTACCTGGTGGGTCCCAGACAGGGCCGTTCCATATGGGACCCATAGCCATGGTTTTAACTCCTAAGATCTTGCTTTATTTTAGAATGACGCTGCACTGATTTTCTTACTGGGGCCACTTTAAGTAATACACAACAGACAACTCTTTTACAAGATTTTATTTTAGATTTTTTCTTCGAATTGCAGTGATTCTATTTTTGACATAAAATGTAATGCCACTCCATGTCCGATGTCTAAGGTCATCTGGTGAGGCATTAATGCAGACCATGCTAATGTCACCTGGTCCATAATGTCCTCTGGTCCATAATGTCTCCTGGTGTCTTGTCCTCAGATAAGTTCCAGGCCTATGACATGGTGGGGATGGGAGCTATCACCGTGAGCTACCGACAGGTGAGGTGAGCTACTGTGCTGCTCTCTGTCTCCGTCTGACCATGTGTGTCCTTCCAGTGGCTACAGATGACCATGTACAACTGAGGACCCCGGCGAGACCAGAGGGAGACCAGAGGGAGACCAGAGGGAGAGACCAGTGAGAGAGACCAGAGAGAGAGACCAAAGAGAGAGACCAGAGAGAGACCAGAGAGAGACCAGAGAGAGACCAGAGAGAGACCAGAGAGAGAGAACAGAGAGAGAGACCAGAGAGAGACCAGAGGGAGACCAGAGAGAAACCAGAGAGAGACCAGAGAGAGACCAGAGAGAGAGACCAGAGAGAGACCAGAGGGAGACCAGAGAGAGAGACCAGAGGGAGACCAGAGGGAGAACAGAGAGAGACCAGAGGGAGACCAGAGGGAGACCAGAGGCAGACCAGAGAGAGACCAGAGAGAGACCAGAGAGAGACCAGAAAGAGAGACCAGAAAGAGAGACCAGAGAGAGACCAGAGAGAGACCAGAGAGAGAGACCAGAGAAAGGGACCAGAGAGAGACCAGAGAGAGGGACCAGAGAGAGACCAGAGAGAGAGACCAGAGAGAGACCAGAGAGAGAGACCAGAGAGAGACCAGAGAGAGACCCGAGAGAGACCTGAGAGAGACCTGAGAGAGAACAGAGAGAGACCAGAGGGAGACCAGAGGGAGACCAGAGAGAGACCAGAGAGAGAGACCAGAGAGAGACCAGAGAGAGACCAGAGAGAGACCAGAGAGAGAGACCAGAGAGAGACCAGAGAGAGACCAGAGGGAGACCAGAGAGAGACAAGAGACCAGAGAGAGACCAGAGAGAGAGACCAGAGAGAGAGACCAGAGAGAGACCAGAGAGAGACCAGAGAGAGAGACCAGAGAGAGACCAGAGAGAGACCAGAGAGAGACCAGAGAGAGAAACCACGCCTGAAGACCCCCTGGAGAGCCACTGCTGCAGCTGGACACCTTTGTCTTTCTTCAGGATTTCTCTGTAAAGTCGTCATTTCAAAAGGACCTGTTTAAGTCATTATTTCTTTTTTTAAATAATACTTCAATAAAAGTGTTTTCATTAAAATCAAGTTCTTATTTTAGACATCTCCCTGTAAAACTTTATTTTTCGTTTTATATATAGTTTTGGTCACTTTTACGACAGGACAGACTGTGCACTTGTAAGCCTCACCACCAGGGGGAGACAAAGGCCAGTGAACACAACACTGAGGTCTGTTTCCACCAATCAGAAGAGCAGAGAGCTGTCACGTGTCCTTTTAAATGAGCTCAAGCTCAAACTGATTTAAATAATTATTTACTACTACTGCTGCTGCTACTACTACTACTACTACTACTACTACTACTACTACTACTGTGTGTACTGCAGTAGTCTGTCCTGTACATGTGTGTACTGCAGTAGTCTGTCCTGTACATGTGTGTACTGCAGTAGTCTGTCCTGTACATGTGTGTACTGCAGTAGTCTGTACATGTGTGTACTGCAGTAGTCTGTACATGTGTGTACTGCAGTAGTCTGTACATGTGTGTACTGCAGTAGTCTGTACATGTGTGTACTGCAGTAGTCTCCTACTGCCACAGCCATCAGGGCGTGATCCCAGGGGGTCGGGATACGACCTGATGTCCATAATGCACCGCCGGTTAGGTTTGCACTTCCACTACTACTACTACTACTACTACTACTACTGTTACTGCTGCCACTTACCTTGTCTGTACCTGTGCTTATGTCTTTCATCATCATTGTTTGTTTAATTTCAAGTAAGGACAAAACAACACAGTCTATAACCTCTCACAGTCTTGTAACTTGAAAAGGGGATGGAGGAAGTTTACGCTTATTTGATTCCAGCCCCACTCACACAACACTACACCAAATACACACACTACAACAATAAACACAAACACGACACAGGCCCCAAACACTCCGACCATACACCCCTTTGCCCCATACAATACATGATGGACACAATGACAGTACTCAAAAAACAGTACTCAAAAAACAGTACTCAATAAGCAGTACTCAAAAAACAGTACTCAAAAAACAGTACTCAAAAGGAGTAGTTCCAATCACAATGGCACATATTTACAATAAAGTCATTTACAGTCTTGACATTTGGAATGTATTAAGTGTAATTCATTTTAAACATTGACCCATACCCAGGCCATACACACACATGTGCACGTGCCTGTCTATGAGGTCATACACACACATGTGCATGTCTATGAGGCCATACACACACATGTGCATGTGCCTGTCTATGAGGTCATACACACACATGTGCATGTGCCTGTCTATGAGGCCAATGTAACGCTAGGCTAGTAGCAGAGTGAACAATTAAGTTGACCAGAAGTAGATTCGGCCAAGGAGCCAGGGTGTGTGAATGAAACACAGACAAAATCAATTGCGTTGTTAGAAAAGTATATATATATATTGATTGTAGTCACAGATTCTATAAATATAGGTGAGGTATGCGATAACGACATTATATTATTTACATGTGTTGCTATAAATAGGGCAGATATAAGGAAATATTTGTAATACAAAAAGAAAAATACAAAAACAAAAAGTGTCCTTTGGTAGGTCAGTTCAATTCAGTTATGGTGGGCTCATAACTGTACTTTAAGCTCCTTTTAGAGTCTTTAGAGTTCCTTTTTGGGATTCAGAAAAGTTCAAGTATTCAAGCAATATTCTAAAAATATTATTAATGTTGGGCAACCATAATAAATATAAAAATATGTTAGGAAATGCGGGTTACACCATACACACACACACATGTGCACGTGCCTGTCTATGAGGCCATACACACACATGTGCCTGTCTATGAGGCCATACACACACATGTGCCTGTCTATGAGGCCATACACACACATGTGCCTGTCTATGAGGCCATACACACACATGTGCCTGTCTATGAGGTCATACACCCACATGTGCATGTGCCTGTCTATGAGGCCATACACACACATGTACATGTGCCTGTCTATGAGGTCAGACACACACATGTACATGTGCCTGTCTATGAGGCCATACACACACATGTGCCTGTCTATGAGGCCATACACACACATGTGCCTGTCTATGAGGCCAGACACACACATGTGCCTGTCTATGAGGCCAGACACACACATGTGCCTGTCTATGAGGTCATACACACACATGTGCCTGTCTATGAGGTCATACACCCACATGTGCATGTGCCTGTCTATGAGGCCATACACACACATGTGCCTGTCTATGAGGCCATACACACACATGTACATGTGCCTGTCTATGAGGTCAGACACACACATGTACATGTGCCTGTCTATGAGGCCATACACACACATGTGCCTGTCTATGAGGCCAGACACACACATGTGCCTGTCTATGAGGCCAGACACACACATGTGCATGTCTAAGAGACCATACACACACATGTGCATGTGCCTGTCTATGAGGCCATACACACACATGTGCCTGTCTATGAGGCCATACACACACATGTGCATGTCTAAGAGACCATACACACACATGTGCATGTCTATGAGGCCATACACACACATGTGCCTGTCTATGAGGCCATACACACACATGTGCATGTCTATGAGGCCATACACACACATGTGCATGTCTATGAGACCATACACACACATGTGCCTGTCTATGAGGCCATACACACACATGTGCCTGTCTATGAGGCCATACACACACATGTGCATGTGCCTGTCTATGAGGTCATACACACACATGTGCATGTGCCTGTCTATGAGGTCATACACACACATGTGCACGTGCCTGTCTATGCGGCCATACACACACATGTGCCTGTCTATGAGGCCATACACACACATGTGCCTGTCTATGAGGTCATACACACACATGTGCCTGTCTATGAGGTCATACACCCACATGTGCATGTGCCTGTCTATGAGGCCATACACACACATGTGCACGTGCCTGTCTATGAGGCCATACACACACATGTGCACGTGCCTGTCTATGAGGCCATACACACACATGTGCCTGTCTATGAGGCCCTACACACACATGTGCCTGTCTATGTGGCCCTACACACACATGTGCCTGTCTATGAGGCCCTACACACACATGTGCCTGTCTATGAGGCCATACACACACATGTGCATGTGCCTGTCTATGAGGTCATACACACACATGTGCACGTGCCTGTCTATGCGGCCATACACACACATGTGCCTGTCTATGAGGCCATACACACACATGTGCCTGTCTATGAGGTCATACACACACATGTGCATGTGCCTGTCTATGAGGCCATACACACACATGTGCACGTGCCTGTCTATGAGGCCATACACACACATGTGCACGTGCCTGTCTATGAGGCCATACACACACATGTGCCTGTCTATGAGGCCCTACACACACATGTGCCTGTCTATGTGGCCCTACACACACATGTGCCTGTCTATGAGGCCCTAGACACACATGTGCATGTCTATGAGGCCCTACACACACATGTGCACGTGCCTGTCTATGAGGCCCTACACACACATGTGCATGTGCCTGTCTATGAGGCCATACACACACATGTGCATGTGCCTGTCTATGAGGCCATACACACACATGTGCACGTGCCTGTCTATGAGGCCATACACACACATGTGCCTGTCTATGAGGCCAGACACACACATGTGCATGTGCCTGTCTATGAGGCCATACACACACATGTGCACGTGCCTGTCTATGAGGCCATACACACACATGTGCATGTGCCTGTCTATGAGGCCATACACACACATGTGCACGTGCCTGTCTATGAGGCCATACACACACATGTGCATGTGCCTGTCTATGAGGCCATACACACACATGTGCCTGTCTATGAGGCCATACACACACATGTGCACGTGCCTGTCTATGAGGCCATACACACACATGTGCACGTGCCTGTCTATGAGAGCATCAATCTCCCATCTCTTCCTGGTACTTACTCATTATATATCTTTTAAACATTTTTTGAAATTGCACAAGTTTTTTACATGTTTTCAATTCCTCTGGAAGACTGTTCCACAGCATGACCCCCTCTCACTGGAAGACTGTTCCACAGCATGACCCCCCCTCACTGGAAGACTGTTCCACAGCATGACCCCCCCTCACTGGAAGACTGTTCCACAGCATGACCCCCCCTCACTGGAAGACTGTTCCACAGCATGACCCCCCCTCAATGGAAGACTGTTCCACAGCATGACCCCCCCTCACTGGAAGACTGTTCCACAGCATGACCCCCCCTCACTGGAAGTCACACTCACATTAGTGATGAGGATCCTGATCTTGGAAAAGGAGAGAGTTGGTAAATGCTTTTACAGGATCAGAGCTGTTCTTTACCACATCCTACAATTTTAAATTAAATGTGTGAAAAAACAGTGGGTTGGTGCTCATTATATTTTACTTTATGAACAATTCTAATTGCTCTTCTCTGGAGCGTGACTAAAGGTAATAGATTTGTTTTGCAACAATTTCCCCAAATTTCTATACAATAATTGAAGTATGACATTGTAAATGACTGGTACAAAATAAATTAGGCCTTTTGATTGAGCATGGGATGATCGCAGATAAGTTATATGAGGTTTCCAAGAAAGTTTTTGATCAATAATTACTCCTAAAAACACATTTTGCGTTACCCTTTCAATGACGGTATCTTTAATGATTATTTGTCATGTCTGTGGTCCTGTTTCCAAATAGCATTAGTTTTGTCTTTTTTAAGTTAAGTGATAATTTATTTAGATCAAACCATGTTTTTAATGTATACATTTCTTGAGTTATTTGATTGAGAAGATTCTCCAAATCCGCTCCAGAACATAAGATTGTAGTGTCTGCAAACAATAAAGATGTCATGACTTTGGATACGTTACAAATGTCGTTGATATACAGTAAAAACAATGTTGGCCCAAGGACAGAACCTTGAGGGACCCCACACGTGTTGCTCCATCTGTACAAACTGCTGCCTGTCTCCCAAGTAACTCTCCAACCACCTCTGTGGCATTCCTCTGACGCCATAGTTGCCCAATTTATCTAAAAGAATATGGTGATCAATTGTATCAAATGCCTTTTTTAAATCAATAAAAATTCCAATAATAAAGTTGTTTTTTTCTATACAATTATCTCTTCCACCATTTCTATTAGAGCTTGTGATGTAGATCTACCTTGTCTAAAACCATATTGACTGTTTGATAATAAATTATTTTTTTCCATAAAATGTAGTAGTCTTGAATTAAATATTTTTTCTAGAATTTTTGAAAGCTGAGGTAGAAGGGAGACTGCGCGGTAATTTGTGAAGCAGTGTTTATCACCTGACTTGAATTACCTTGGCTGGTTTGACAATTGCTTCCGCAATAGCTCATCATCACCATCATCATCATTTTTATAATAATCATCGTCTTGATCACCATCATCTTCATCATCATCATCATCATCATCACAATAATAACAGAGTTGGAGCCATAGAGCCTCTCTGTGTGCGTGTGTCATTCATCTAAGATAGAGTAATATGTTTTATATATTTATATTATTATTATTATTATTATATGATTGGACCAGACACTGGACGCGCGGGGCAGCGGCGCAACAGTGACGCGGCAGAGCGGCGGAAGCTTGGTAGCAGCGCGGCGGAAGCGCGTGTTGTACGTGGTGCGTGTGGCTTGACGGCGCTGCCTCTGTAGGAGCGGCCGACCCTCCCACATCAGCCTGTAGGAGCTCGGTAGGAGCTCGGTAGGAGCTCGGTAGGACTGTAGGACCCTCCCACATCAGCGTTTCCTGCGCAGGACATTCCTCTGGAGCAGCGCGGCGCGGCTGACCTCCTGAGCTCTGTCTGTTCCATTGTTGCAGCCTCCCGTTGGGACATGGTCGACTATCACGCCACGAACAGTCAATATTCTTCGGGCGGAGCACAGAACGCCTACATGGAGCAAGAGAACGACTGGGACCGGGACCTGCTGCTGGACCCGGCCTGGGAGCGCCAACAACGCAAGGTAAGAGCAGGGGCCCGGTGCTGGCCCCGCAGCTGTGGCCTGTGAGGCTGGGGGCTGGGACTGGGGACTGGGGACTGGGGACGGGAGTGGGGCGGGGGGCTCGCCTCTGGATCACCGCTGCTCTCTCCGCGTCGTTTGCTCAGAGCGCGTAAAAGGCACAGTGTCCTCCGGGGCGGAAACGGGGCGCCACAGCGTAGCCCTGGCCGTGTTGGCCCCTGCACACTGAGCCACTGTGGCCCCTGCACACGGAGATACTGTGGCCCTTGTCTCTCAGAGAGGCTGGAGCCTGGAGCTCAGGGCGTCACTGGAATGCTCACCGTACCAGTTTGCAGGCCCGTGTGGATGTAGCTCAGCCATGTTGAACGCCCAATTTCGGGACTGAGTGGGATCAAAGCCCTCTCTCTCTCGGTCTGAACTTTAGGACATGTGGCATAGTCTCTGCACCTGCAGAGACCATCAGATGTGGGCCTCCTCTCTGTGGGCCTCCCTCCCACAGCGCGTCTACAGAGGGTTTCTCCTTCTGCCTGTGCCTCTCTGTCCAGTTCTTCGTCAGGAGCAGATCCGAGTATCATCAATAATAGTATTAGTAGTAGTTGCACCGATCATGAGTAATCCGGGGGCGGCGGCAGCGGCGGCGGCGCAGGGCGTGTGTACAGCTGGATCACATCGCTCACATTCCTGCTGTTGGTCGGACAGCGTGCCATGCATTGTACTGGGCATTTCTGACATGCTCTTCAGCTGGGAATCACTACACACACGCACATGCACATGCTCACACACACACACATGCACATGCTCACACACACACACACACACGGCCAGATCATGTCTCATCCAAACAGATATTTAACCCTTGTTCCTCATGTCCCATTTCTCCTCCACAGTGATTAAAAATATCCTAAATAAAACATGATCGAGCTGAATGTGGATATTTCCTGTCTTGACCAACCTCGAGTCAGTTAGACCATAGTTTTTTAGGTATCTTTCTCCTACTCTTATTCATCTGTAGCTGGTATATTGGACCCAAGTGTGAAGGAGGCAGACACTGGGGTGTGGAGGGTTAAGTGTCTTGCCCAAGGACACAGCAGCCTTCACAGATGGGAGCTGGTTTCGCACCTGCGACCTGTGGCCCTGGTTTGTTTCTGTGTGAGTGAAGCGTGTTGAGAATATTCTGTAGTTTAGTCTTTTACACATTCTCTGTGTTGGAGTTGGAGATGTGAGCGTTCAGACAGAAGGGTTGGGGGTTGACGGCTGTAACTTCCTGATGTAAAGATCCTATGTTAGTCCCACTGTGGGGAAATGTCAGTGTTGCATCGCAGGTTACAGAACAGAAGGAAGGAGGAGCACACGGCACAAAAACCTATGTTTTTAGTGGTAGGTCAAACCGTAGCACCCGGAGGAAACTTACTCAGGGAGAACATGCCACTACTACACAGAAAGACCCTGTTCCAGCAGCCTTGCTAACCACTCAGACAGAACCCTGAGGTGGTCTCTGTAGGACCCCGAGTTAGCTTTTACTCGAGTACTTTCTCAGCAGCTGGTCTGGGGCAGGATAAGGAAGTAGTGGCACAATTAAAAAACATTTAAACTTCCAACTTGTTCAAATAAGTTCCTGTTCCTCTGTTCTTTGTCCGACCTGTGAAACTGCTGGACCTGGACTTCCTCTGGACCTGTACTCGAGTAGATCTGTAGGTTTGGGGCCGAGGTGTTCGTCTCTAGTCAAAGTTTGTGAAAAGGAAAGTCGCGTCAATCATTAACAGAAGTTGTGCAACGAGCAAAGCACTTGTGCTCATTCAGGCAGGACCGGAGAGAGACCAGAGAGAGAGACCGGAGAGAGAGACCGGAGAGAGAGACCGGAGAGAGAGACCGGAGAGAGAGACCGGAGAGAGAGACCGGAGAGAGAGACCGGAGAGAGAGACCGGAGAGAGAGACCGGAGAGAGAGACCGGAGAGAGAGACCGGCGTTGCATCAATAAAACCAAGATTGTTATGTTCTTTGACCAGCCCCATATTTATCAAATCAGTCTATAAAAGTAAAAAAGTGATCTGGAAAACTGAACACACAACACTGTATATAAAGTATGTAGTATATGTAGTGTGTTTAGTATAGTATACATTGTATAGTGTATGTGGTATATATAGAGGGAGAGAGATCCTAGCACTGTACCCTGTTGTTCTCCCTCATCTCCCTGAGGCTGGTCTCCCCCTGAGGCTGGTCTCCCCCTGAGGCTGGTCTCCCCCTGAGGCTGGTCTCCCCCTGAGGCTGGTCTCTCCCTGAGGCTGGTCTCTCCCTGAGGCTGGTCTCCCCCTGAGGCTGGTCTCTCCCTGAGGCTGGTCTCTCCCTGAGGCTGGTCTCTCCCTGAGGCTGGTCTCTCCCTGAGGCTGGTCTCCCCCTGAGGCTGGTCTCCCCCTGAGGCTGGTCTCCCCCTGAGGCTGGTCTCCCCCTGAGGCTGGTCTCCCCCTGAGGCTGGTCTCCCCCTGAGGCTGGTCTCCCCCTGAGGCTGGTCTCCCCCTGAGGCTGGTCTCTCCCTGAGGCTGGTCTCTCCCTGAGGCTGGTCTCCCCCTGAGGCTGGTCTCCCCCTGAGGCTGGTCTCCCCCTGAGGCTGGTCTCCCCCTGAGGCTGGTCTCCCCCTGAGGCTGGTCTCCCCCTGAGGCTGGTCTCCCCCTGAGGCTGGTCTCCCCCTGAGGCTGGTCTCTCCCTGAGGCTGGTCTCTCCCTGAGGCTGGTCTCTCCCTGAGGCTGGTCTCTCCCTGAGGCTGGTCTCTCCCTGAGGCTGGTCTCTCCCTGAGGCTGGTCTCTCCCTGAGGCTGGTCTCTCCCTGAGGCTGGTCTCTCCCTGAGGCTGGTCTCTCCCTGAGGCTGGTCTCTCCCTGAGGCTGGTCTCTCCCTGAGGCTGGTCTCTCCCTGAGGCTGGTCTCTCCCTGAGGCTGGTCTCTCCCTGAGGCTGGTCTCTCCCTGAGGCTGGTCTCTCCCTGAGATATTAATCTCAAACTTATTGATTAACAAGCTGTTGGTGACACGCCTCATGAAGGAGCGCATTCCATAATACTGCAGCCAGGGACAGCTCACCTGGTACTTCCTGTTTCATGGTACCTCCTGGTTCCTGGTACTTCCTGGTTCCTGGCACTTCCTGGTTCCTGGCACTTCCTGGTTCCTGGCACTTCCTGGTTCCTGGTACTTCCTGTGTGTGTCGTGCCTGGGCAGTGTTGTGATGGGAGACGCTCTGCTCCGATGGTTTAGTTTGAGATAAAAATCAATGAATCCACTTTCTGAGAATCAAAGATGTGAAGATAGTGAGTTGTGGTCAGTGTGGTTCTGCTGCTCGGGGGTCTGTAGTTCAGCCTGATCCTGCAGCAAGATTACGACGGGGAACAAAGTGTTTTAAGAAAAGTCACATCGATTACGTTTAAGATGTCTGTAGTCGATGATTGTTTAGGAAATAAAAATATATTTTGGAATTTGAATATTGCACTTTTTCCTTAAACTGCCCCCTGCAGGTGAAAGCCAGATCCCTCAGACCTCTGAAGCTAAGCAGGGCAGGGCCTGGTTAGTGCTGTGATGGGAGACCTCTGGGAACAGCAGGTGCCACAGTGGGGCGGCTGCAGCTGTAAAGTGCCAAACTGTGGTTGTGTCCTTAGGCAAGACACTTCCCCCACATTAGAATGAGTCTGGTGTGTGTGTGAATGGTTGGTGGTGGTGGGAGGGGCCAATGGCACAGACTGGTTGCCTCGCTTCTGTCAGTGTGCCCCAGGGCAGCTGTGGCTACAGTAGTTTGTCATCCTACATCCTGACATAACATTTGCATAATTTGTGTGAATTATGCAAGAAACCCAGGTTCTTCACTCTTTCCTCCTGGTGCCGTCTCTCCTGGTGCCGTGTCTCCTGGTGTCTGTAGATGCAGTCAGGACATGTTGTGGATGTTGAGCCGGTTTGTGGCTCCCGGGGGCCTCTGTGAGGACTTGTCTCACTTTGCGCTGGTTTTTATTCAAATGTTTCTGTGACAAACGTCAGAATAAATGAGAAGTACAGAACCAGAAACGTTTATTTAAATTAAGCCTCAGTCCTGGGTCTACAGCCTCAGTCCTGGGTCTACAGCCTCGGTCCTGGGTCTACAGCCTCGGTCCTGGGTCTACAGCCTCGGTCCTGGGTCTACAGCCTCGGTCCTGGGTCTACAGCCTCAGTCCTGGGTCTACAGCCTCAGTCCTGGGTCTACAGCCTCGGTCCTGGGTCTACAGCCTCGGTCCTGGGTCTACAGCCTCGGTCCTGGGTCTACAGCCTTGGTCCTGGGTCTACAGCCTCGGTCTGCTTGATTCTCTGATCTGTCGGTGACTCCTGTGGGTGGAGGCTCCTCTGGACTTTGGACTTGGTTTTAGGACTGAAAACCATTTCCTTATATCCGCTGTTTGTCCTTAGTCAAAGTTCATCTTAGTGTTTGTTTGGACGATGTTGACTGTGATTATTCTGCTACAAAGAAACAGAAACAGCAGAACCTTCACTGTTGCAGAAGTGTCTGAAACAGGAAGCTGTGAGCACACCTCGGTCTCAGCAGGAGCTCATGTAGACACTTGTGATGTCACACTTCCTGTGGTTAAGAATCGTGTCGTTGTTGAAATAAAGTTATTAACACATGACACTCCCTCAGTCTGCTGATGGTTAACCACCAACTGTCAGAGGCCCCTGGGGTCCAGAGAGGAGGCCCTGAGGCCCCTGAGCCTTGTTCATTCCTCGTATACAGTTTATGGTTGAAACTGTGGATAAAGCACCAGAACCACATGTGGACTGGGTTTGTGGTCCTGCTCCAGTCTTTTGGACTCAGACCTCTGCTCTGTGGAGTACAGGGGCCTCCTCCTGTCTGCTCTGTGGTGTACAGGGGCCTCCTCCTGTCTGCTCTGTGGAGTACAGGGGCCTCCTCCTGTCTGCTCTGTGGAGTACAGGGGCCTCCTCCTGTCTGCTCTGTGGTGTACAGGGGCCTCCTCCTGTCTGCTCTGTGGAGTACAGGGGCCTCCTCCTGTCTGCTCTGTGGTGTACAGGGGCCTCCTCCTGTCTGCTCTGTGGTGTACAGGGGCCTCCTCCTGTCTGCTCTGTGGAGTACAGGGGCCCTCCACCTGCTGGAGCTGGTCCTGTCAGTGCAGAGTCTCAGCTGAGTTCAGTGAAAGTCCAGAACAATGAAGTGAGAGCAGCAGAGGAATGCAGCCCCATATGCTGTTGTCACGGCGACGCACTGAAGCCCTGCATTCCAGAGGGAGGTGCTGTCCTGCTCATGCAGTCGCAGGGTCAGAGGCAGTGATGCAGTCGCAGGGTCAGAGGCAGTGATGCAGGGTCAGAGGCAGTGATGCAGGGTCAGAGGCAGTGATGCAGGGTCAGAGGCAGTGATGCAGGGTCAGAGGCAGTGATGCAGGGTCAGAGGCAGTGATGCAGTCGCAGGGTCAGAGGCAGTGATGCAGTCGCAGGGTCAGAGGCAGTGATGCAGGGTCAGAGGCAGTGATGCTGTCGCAGGGTCAGAGGCAGTGATGCAGTCGCAGGGTCAGAGTCAGTGATGCAGTCGCAGGGTCAGAGTCAGTGATGCAGTCGCAGGGTCAGAGTCAGTGATGCAGTCGCAGGGTCAGAGTCAGTGATGCAGTCGCAGGGTCAGAGGCAGTGATGCAGTCGCAGGGTCAGAGGCAGTGATGCAGTCGCAGGGTCAGAGGCAGTGATGCAGTCGCAGGGTCAGAGGCAGTGATGCAGGGTCAGAGGCAGTGATGCAGGGTCAGAGGCAGTGATGCAGGGTCAGAGGCAGTGATGCAGTCGCAGGGTCAGAGGCAGTGATGCAGTCGCAGGGTCAGAGGCAGTGATGCAGGGTCAGAGGCAGTGATGCAGTCGCAGGGTCAGAGGCAGTGATGCAGTCGCAGGGTCAGAGGCAGTGATGCAGTCGCAGGGTCAGAGGCAGTCGCAGGGTCAGAGGCAGTGATGCAGTCGCAGGGTCAGAGGCAGTGATGCAGTCGCAGGGTCAGAGGCAGTGATGCAGGGTCAGAGGCAGTGATGCTGTCGCAGGGTCAGAGGCAGTGATGCAGTCGCAGGGTCAGAGGCAGTGATGCAGTCGCAGGGTCAGAGGCAGTGATGCAGTCGCAGGGTCAGAGTCAGTGATGCAGTCGCAGGGTCAGAGGCAGTGATGCTGTCGCAGGGTCAGAGGCAGTGATGCTGTCGCAGGGTCAGAGGCAGTGATGCAGTCGCAGGGTCAGAGGCAGTGATGCAGTCGCAGGGTCAGAGGCAGTGATGCAGTCGCAGGGTCAGAGGCAGTGATGCAGTCGCAGGGTCAGAGGCAGTGATGCAGTCGCAGGGTCAGAGGCAGTGATGCAGTCGCAGGGTCAGAGGCAGTGATGCAGGGTCAGAGGCAGTGATGCTGTCGCAGGGTCAGAGGCAGTGATGCTGTCGCAGGGTCAGAGGCAGTGATGCTGTCGCAGGGTCAGAGGCAGTGATGCTGTCGCAGGGTCAGAGGCAGTGATGCTGTCGCAGGGTCAGAGGCAGTGATGCTGTCGCAGCGTCAGAGGCAGTGATGCAGGGTCAGAGGCAGTGATGCAGGGTCAGAGGCAGTGATGCAGGGTCAGAGGCAGTGATGCAGGGTCAGAGGCAGTGATGCAGTCGCAGGGTCAGAGGCAGTGATGCAGTCGCAGGGTCAGAGGCAGTGATGCAGTCGCAGGGTCAGAGGCAGTGATGCAGTCGCAGGGTCAGAGGCAGTGATGCAGTCGCAGGGTCAGAGGCAGTGATGCAGTCGCAGGGTCAGAGGTAGTGATGCAGGGTCAGAGGCAGTGATGCAGTCGCAGGGTCAGAGGCAGTGATGCAGTCGCAGGGTCAGAGGCAGTGATGCAGTCGCAGGGTCAGATGCAGTCGCAGGGTCAGATGCAGTGATGCAGGGTCAGAGGCAGTGATGCAGTCGCAGGGTCAGGGTCAGGCAGTGATGCAGTCGCAGGGTCAGAGGCAGTGATTCAGTCGCAGGGTCAGATGCAGTGATGCAGGGTCAGAGGCAGTGATGCAGGGTCAGAGGCAGTGATGCAGGGTCAGAGGCAGTGATGCAGGGTCAGAGGCAGTGATGCAGTCGCAGGGTCAGAGGCAGTGATGCAGTCGCAGGGTCAGATGCAGTGATGCAGGGTCAGAGGCAGTGATGCAGTCGCAGGGTCAGGGTCAGGCAGTGATGCAGTCGCAGGGTCAGAGGCAGTGATTCAGTCGCAGGGTCAGATGCAGTGATGCAGGGTCAGAGGCAGTGATGCAGTCGCAGGGTCAGAGGCAGTGATGCAGTCGCAGGGTCAGATGCAGTGATGCAGGGTCAGAGGCAGTGATGCAGTCGCAGGGTCAGAGGCAGTGATGCAGTCGCAGGGTTAGAGGCAGTGATGCAGTCGCAGGGTCAGAGGCAGTGATGCAGTCGCAGGGTCAGATGCAGTGATGCAGTCGCAGGGTCAGAGTCAGTGATGCAGTCGCAGGGTCAGATGCAGTGATGCAGGGTCAGAGGCAGTGATGCAGGGTCAGAGGCAGTGATGCAGGGTCAGAGGCAGTGATGCAGTCGCAGGGTCAGGGTCAGGCAGTGATGCAGTCGCAGGGTCAGAGGCAGTGATTCAGTCGCAGGGTCAGATGCAGTGATGCAGGGTCAGAGGCAGTGATGCAGGGTCAGAGGCAGTGATGCAGGGTCAGAGGCAGTGATGCAGTCGCAGGGTCAGAGGCAGTGATGCAGTCGCAGGGTCAGAGGCAGTGATGCAGGGTCAGAGGCAGTGATGCAGTCGCAGGGTCAGAGGCAGTGATGCAGTCGCAGGGTCAGAGGCAGTGATGCAGGGTCAGAGGCAGTGATGCAGTCGCAGGGTCAGGGTCAGGCAGTGATGCAGTCGCAGGGTCAGAGGCAGTGATGCAGTCGCAGGGTCAGGCAGTGATGCAGTCGCAGGGTCAGAGGCAGTGATGCAGTCGCAGGGTCAGATGCAGTGATGCAGGGTCAGAGGCAGTGATGCAGTCGCAGGGTCAGGGTCAGGCAGTGATGCAGGGTCAGAGGCAGTGATGCAGTCGCAGGGTCAGATGCAGTGATGCAGGGTCAGAGGCAGTGATGCAGGGTCAGAGGCAGTGATGCAGGGTCAGAGGCAGTGATGCAGTCGCAGGGTCAGGGTCAGGCAGTGATGCAGTCGCAGGGTCAGAGGCAGTGATGCAGGGTCAGAGGCAGTGATGCTGTCGCAGGGTCAGAGGCAGTGATGCTGTCGCAGGGTCAGAGGCAGTGATGCTGTCGCAGGGTCAGAGGCAGTGATGCTGTCGCAGGGTCAGAGGCAGTGATGCTGTCGCAGGGTCAGAGGCAGTGATGCAGGGTCAGAGGCAGTGATGCAGGGTCAGAGGCAGTGATGCAGTCGCAGGGTCAGGGTCAGGCAGTGATGCAGTCGCAGGGTCAGAGGCAGTGATGCAGGGTCAGAGGCAGTGATGCTGTCGCAGGGTCAGAGGCAGTGATGCAGTCGCAGGGTCAGAGGCAGTGATGCTGTCGCAGGGTCAGAGGCAGTGATGCAGGGTCAGAGGCAGTGATGCAGGGTCAGAGGCAGTGATGCAGTCGCAGGGTCAGGGTCAGGCAGTGATGCAGTCGCAGGGTCAGAGGCAGTGATGCAGTCGCAGGGTCAGAGGCAGTGATGCAGTCGCAGGGTCAGGCAGTGATGCAGTCTCACTGCTTCACCAACACTCAGACTGTACACAGAGGATACCATCCCATAATAAACATTGACAGAAGAGCTTTGCAGAAAGCTGCTGCTCCTCTAGTGGGTGGGAGGACCAGACGCTGCACATGTTAGCCCAAATGTCCGGTATATACTTAATAATATTTAATATATAGATTTTTTAAATTTTAAATACTGCATGAAGGCGTCTGCGCGAGGCCGTCTGCGCGAGGGAGACTCTGACAGGTCTCTGGCCTATTTGCAGCTCAGTGTTGGATTCAAAAGGAGGTTTTCCGCTCTGTTTGTGATGGTCAGGGAGGGGTGGGGGGGCAGGCTCCTCCCACTATCCCACATGCAGGCATGTCACCTACTTAACGTCAGTCACAGGAGGAAACATGGGAGAACTGGCCTAAATTTAATCTGGTACTGTGCCTGCATGAGTACTGTGCCTGCATGAGTACTCTATGCCCTTTACCATAAGCTCCTGTCTGTCGTCTACAGTGAGCTGTGTCAGTCCAGTCTAGTTTACTCTAAAGAGGTGTGTGTGTGTGTGTGTGTGTGTGTCCCCATTAGATCGGTTTGTTGTGTTACATTCATAAACGAGGTGTGTTTCCGCATCGTCAGAGGAAGTGCATTATTTGTTTTTAGACTGTGGCCATTATTAAGAATGAAAGGGATCATTGAAGTTTCTGTACTTCCAAAGAAAAATCCAAATACTTTTTGTCCTTACGCAGGACATACTGGGTCATGGAACATATTTGAGAGCAGATCATTTAGACAGAAGGGGTGGGGGCCCTGAATGAGGACGTCGCGCTGGTGCAGTGGTTCGAGTGTTTGTTTCCCACAAAGGTCCTTCCAGACAGAGACCTTCTGTGTGGCGTTTGCATGTTCTCCCTGTGTCTGCGTAGGTTTCCTCCAGGTGCTCCAGTTTCCCCTACTACTAAAAACATGCACCATAGGTTCTATAGTAGGTTCTTTTTATCACAATTTTCTTTTTTATTATATTCAGATTGTTTTATTTATTTATTGTGAAATACTCTGAGCTACTGTGACGAATCAATTTCCCTGTGGATCAATAAAGTCTGTCTAAGTCTGTCCTCAAACACAGTCTGTGCTCAGGGCCACATTAGTCTGTGCTCAGGGCCGCATTAGTCTGTGCTCAGGGCCACATTAGTCTGTGCTCAGGGCCGCATTAGTCTGTGCTCAGGGCCGCATTAGTCTGTGCTCAGGGCCACATTAGTCTGCTCAGGGCCGCATTAGTCTGTGCTCAGGGCCGCATTAGTCTGTGCTCAGGGCCACATTAGTCTGTGCTCAGGGCCACATTACTCTGTGCATCAGGGCCACATTAGTCTGTGCTCAGGGCCGCATTAGTCTGTGCTCGGGGCCACATTAGTCTGTGCTCAGGGCCACATTACTCTGTGCATCAGGGCCACATTAGTCTGTGCTCAGGGCCACATTAGTCTGTGCTCAGGGCCGCATTAGTCTGTGCTCAGGGCCGCATTAGTCTGTGCTCAGGGCCACATTAGTCTGTGCTCAGGGCCACATTACTCTGTGCATCAGGGCCACATTAGTCTGTGCTCAGGGCCGCATTAGTCTGTCCTCAGGGCCACATTAGTCTGTGCTCAGGGCCACATTAGTCTGTGCTCAGGGCCACATTAGTCTGTGCTCAGGGCCACATTAGTCTGTCCTCAGGGCCACATTAGTCTGTGCATCAGGGCCACATTAGTCTGTGCTCAGGGCCACATTAGTCTGTGCTCAGGGCCACATTAGTCTGTGCTCAGGGCCACATTAGTCTGTGCTCAGGGCCACATTAGTCTGTGCTCAGGGCCACATTACTCTGTGCTCAGGGCCACATTAGTCTGTCCTCAGGGCCACATTAGTCTGTGCATCAGGGCCACATTAGTCTCTCCTCAGGGCCACATTAGTCTGTCCTCAGGGCCACATTAGTCTGTCCTCAGGGCCACATTAGTCTGTGCTCAGGGCCGCATTAGTCTGTGCTCAGGGCCACATTAGTCTGTCCTCAGGGCCACATTAGTCTGTGCTCAGGGCCGCATTAGTCTGTGCTCAGGGCCGCATTAGTCTGTGCTCAGGGCCACATTAGTCTGTGCTCAGGGCCACATTACTCTGTGCATCAGGGCCACATTAGTCTGTGCTCAGGGCCACATTAGTCTGTGCTCAGGGCCGCATTAGTCTGTGCTCAGGGCCACATTAGTCTGTGCTCAGGGCCACATTACTCTGTGCATCAGGGCCACATTAGTCTGTGCTCAGGGCCGCATTAGTCTGTCCTCAGGGCCACATTAGTCTGTGCTCAGGGCCACATTAGTCTGTGCTCAGGGCCACATTAGTCTGTGCTCAGGGCCACATTAGTCTGTCTTCAGGGCCACATTAGTCTGTCCTCAGGGCCACATTAGTCTGTGCATCAGGGCCACATTAGTCTGTGCTCAGGGCCACATTAGTCTGTGCTCAGGGCCACATTAGTCTGTGCTCAGGGCCACATTAGTCTGTGCTCAGGGCCACATTAGTCTGTGCTCAGGGCCACATTACTCTGTGCTCAGGGCCACATTAGTCTGTCCTCAGGGCCACATTAGTCTGTGCATCAGGGCCACATTAGTCTCTCCTCAGGGCCACATTAGTCTGTCCTCAGGGCCACATTAGTCTGTGCTCAGGGCCACATTAGTCTGTGCTCAGGGCCACATTAGTCTGTCCTCAGGGCCGCATTAGTCTGTGCATTAGGGCCACATTAGTCTGTGCTCAGGGCCACATTAGTCTGTGCTCAGGGCCGCATTAGTCTGTCCTCAGGGCCACATTAGTCTGTGCTCAGGGCCGCATTAGTCTGTGCTCAGGGCCGCATTAGTCTGTGCTCAGGGCCGCATTAGTCTGTGCTCAGGGCCGCATTAGTCTGTGCTCAGGGCCACATTAGTCTGTGCATCAGGGCCACATTAGTCTGTGCATCAGGGCCACATTAGTCTGTGCTCAGGGCCACATTAGTCTGTGCTCAGGGCCGCATTAGTCTGTGCTCAGGGCCGCATTAGTCTGTGCTCAGGGCCGCATTAGTCTGTGCTCAGGGCCACATTAGTCTGTGCTCAGGGCCACATTAGTCTGTGCTCAGGGCCACATTAGTCTGTGCTCAGGGCCACATTAGTCTGTGCTCAGGGCCACATTAGTCTGTGCTCAGGGCCACATTAGTCTGTGCTCAGGGCCACATTAGTCTGTGCTCAGGGCCGCATTAGTCTGTGCTCAGGGCCGCATTAGTCTGTGCTCAGGGCCGCATTAGTCTGTGCTCAGGGCCACATTAGTCTGTGCTCAGGGCCACATTAGTCTGTGCTCAGGGCCACATTAGTCTGTGCTCAGGGCCACATTAGTCTGTGCTCAGGGCCGCATTAGTCTGTGAAACGTGCTTTTCTTAAAAGCTTGAACCGTCTCATGGGAGTTTTCTTATCTCCGGCCTTTCACTCACAGCGCTTTACCAGACTATTGTATAGGTTTCAGTGGTAGGGGACACCGGAGCACCTGGAGGAAACCTGCACAGGGAGAACATGCAAACCCCACTCTGAGGAGGCTCTTGCAGCAGTCCGTGTAGATTACCGTGTATCGGTTGCTGCACAGAGCGACCCCAGAGGCAGCTGCAGCCTGAGCCAAGGCTGTTCACACACATCAAATATTTACACTTCTGCTCAGATCAAGAGAAACCCACGCATGTTCCTACTACCATCTGACGGTTACGACTGCTGCTGTTGCTATGGGCCGCTGCTGTTGCTATGGGACACTACTACTACTGCTGTTGCTATGGGACACTACTACTGCTGTTGCTATGGGACACTACTACTACTGTTGCTATGGGACACTACTACTACTACTACTACTACTACTACTACTACTACTGCTGTTGCTATGGGACACTACTACTACTACTGCTGTTGCTATGGGACACTACTACTACTACTGCTGTTGCTATGGGACACTACTACTACTACTGCTGTTGCTATGGGACACTACTACTACTACTGCTGTTGCTATAGGACACTACTACTACTACTGCTGTTGCTATGGGACACTACTACTACTGCTGCTGTTGCTATGGGACACTACTACTACTGCTGCTGTTGCTATGGGACACTACTACTGCTGCTGTTGCTATGGGACACTACTACTGCTGCTGTTGCTATGGGACACTACTGCTGCTGTTGCTATGGGACACTACTGCTGCTGTTGCTATGGGACACTACTGCTGCTGTTGCTATGGGAAACTGCTGCTGCTGTTGCTATGGGACACTACTACTACTACTACTACTGCTGCTGTTGCTATGGGACACTGCTATGGTACTTAGCAACACACTTGTCTCCTTTATGGTGCGACGCTAACTTTACGGATCAATTGCCCATATAAGGAAATTGACTACAGCTCATGTTGAAATTGGCCTCTTCCACATTGAGGCTAACCCTGTGGTGATGTCACGCTTGTGTCAGACCCCCCCCCCCCCCCAGGTCAGACCCCCCCCTCCCGTCTGCATGTGGGTCAGGGGGGGTCCAGTTGTAGCGGTGTGCATCTGCTCTGATCCAATCAAAGGCAGCGGATTACAGTTAGCATGATTCTCTCTAAGCCCTGACTCTGGGTCACTGAGGCTGCGCTGCCATTGGTCAGATCCTCCATCACATTTATGTCTCTATCATGTCTGATGTTAGGCCCACAGGGACTGAATGTTAGGCCCACAGGGACTGAATGTTAGGCCCACAGGGACTGAACGTAGGCCTGTCGCGATAGTCAATAAATCAATTAATCGCACGATAAATAAAATTTGCTCCATAACTTTTCTGGCCGCGATAAATCCCATTTGCATGCTCATTTGTTTTCCCCGTCTCTCTCGGGTCAGAGCCGCAAAGTGGTCACGGGAACATTAGCGGTCTAGCAAGCAGACGGAAATTACTCAAAAATACAAAATACAGCCAAAACAGGACCTAAACCAGGACTTAACCAGGATTGACCATGGGGGACACAGTAGTTGTGAACATATGCCGGCAGCTGAGTTCTCATTCAGGCTTGATTAGTGACTATACTAGCGCAGCTAGCGTTAGCGTGTTCGCCGATGCAGAAGTACCGCACCGTACCAATAAAATAAACTTATGGCGCACCTCCGTGAACACATACTGCTGTTATATAAAGTCTCTAGAACAGTGTCTCCCAAAGTGGGGTCCAGGAGGGTACTGCAGGGGGGCCGCGGGAGGTCATAAAAAAAAAATATATATATATATAATTATTTAATGTTAAATTTATAATGTTTTGTTTGTAATATTAAAATATTTGTATTCATTATTTGACTTGAATAATCCACTGTAATCATTTTTGTATTACAATGTTTGTAGCAGAGGCTATTTCCCCAAAATAAAATAACCAGAAGAGTCTATTCTTAATGTTGTCTTCTTGGTTATTATTTTGGGGGGCCACGCAGACCCGTCAGATTTTTAAGGGGGCCTCGGTGTTACTGAGTTTGGGAATGGCTGCTCTAGAAGGTCTCTGAACACAGAGATGCTGCAGACTTGCATTCTTGGAGTAGAACTTTACACAAAAAACCCGCTAGCTTAGCTGTTAGCATCAAAGCCCGCCCCGCTACTTCCGGTGGGCGCTACTGCAGCAGGACTTCTGTACGCCCCATTGGTGAACCCACATGTCAGTCACTTGTCATTCGCCTGGTGTGTGGGGAGGTGGGACTACTCCTGAGAGATCCTGTCTTAAGCCACACAAAGTCAACATGTTGGTATTTCTTTCTCGTAATCTGCCATAAAGTCTGAGAAATGATTGACATTTGAGGCATCTGTTTCATATTTTCTTTACAAAGGTCCTGGCAGTTTTATTCCTGGTCATTTTTTGTTAAGAGACAGTCTATTTTATTTATTGTTTTTGGTTGTAGTAGTAGTAGTAGTAGTAGTAAGTAATCTTTATTTATATACCGCCTTTTCACTGCACATCAGAGTCTCAAAGCGGTTTACAATTGTTATTTTTGGGAGTGGGGCCAGTACAGGAGGCACATGTCAGACCTATTGGACATATTTTTAGTGGTAGGGGAAACCGGAGCACCCGGAGGAAACCTATGCAGACACGAGGAGAACATGCAAACTCCACTCAGAAACGCCCTGGTCCAACCGGGATTCGAACCCAGGATCTTCTTGCTGAGAGGCGAGAGTGCTATCCACTCAGCCACCGTGCCGCCCAAATAATGCCGTTAAATATTCGTTAAAAATAAAAGTTTATTTCAGGTGTACCTGCATTATCATTGTAATCGATTATCTCAGAACGACAATATAATCGCTTATCGCAATAATTTCTGAGACAATTAATCGTCCAGCAAAATTTGTTATCGTGACAGGCCTAGTCATGACTCAAGGTGCTCAAGTTTATCCTGTTGTTTATAGAAATGTAACTTTCTATTATTGTATTACAAGGTCCTGTCAGATCTCTGAAGCTAAGCAGGGCATGGCCTGGTTAGTGTTGTGATGGGAGACCTCTGTGGCTACAGTAGTCATGATGTGAAGAGCGTCCATAAAGTGCTGTAAACCTTCTGCTTTATTGTTTTTATTTAAACTGTAGGAAAGGTCCGTCATAAACATGAATGAAGTGTGTTGTAATCTCCTCTAAGTCTCTGATGGTGATGAACCTGTAAACAGCAGGGTGTGTGGGGGCCGCACCACACTTTGGGAAGCTCAGCGTAATTGTTCTTGTAAAGTGAAATCTCAGGAACTTCTTCCAGATCCCTGAATGTGTCTGAGTGTGTCTGAGTGTGTGCAGGTCTTTACCACGCTGTGATTGGACCAATAAATTATGACTCAAATTAGACGAGGTTCAGCTCATAAAACTCTGGACCGGCTCCTCTCTCTGCTCCTCTCTCTGCTCCTCTCTCTCCTCTCTCTGCTCCTCTCTCTCCTCTCTCTGCTCCTCTCTGCTCCTCTCTCTGCTCCTCTCTCTCCTCTCTCTGCTCCTCTCTCTCCTCCCTCTGCTCCTCTCTGCTCCTCTCTCTCCTCTCTCTCCTCTTTGCTCTCTCTTCTCCACCTCTCCTCTTTTCTCTCTGCTCCTGTCTCTCTCCTCTCTGCTCCTCCTCTCTGCTCCTCTCTGCTCCTCCTCTCTGCTCCTCTCTCTGCTCCTCTCTCTGCTCCTCTCTCTGCTCCTCTCTCTGCTCCTCTCTCTGCTCCTCTCTGCTCCTCTGCTCCTCTCTGCTCCTCTCTGCTCCTCTCTGCTCCTCTCTCTGCTCCTCTCTCTGCTCTCTCTGCTCTCTGCTCTCCTCTCTGCTCCTCTCTGCTCCTCTCTGCTCCTCTCTCCTCTCTGTATCTGTACAGGCCCATCAACGGTCGCTCCGTCCTCTGTACAGGCCCATCACAACAGTCGCTCCTTCTCTGTACAGGCCCGTCACGGTCGCTTCCTGACCTCTGTACAGCCCATCACGGTCCGCTCCTGTCTCTGTACAAGGCCCATCACAGTCCTTCCTGTCTCTGTACAGGCCCTACACGGGTCGCTCCTGTCTCTGTACAGGCCCATCACAGTCGCTCCAGTCTGCTGTACAGGCTCGTCACGGTCGCTCCTGGTCTCTGTACAGGCCCATCACGGTCCGCCCTGGCCCCACTGTACAGGCCCAATCTACAGTCGCTCACTGTCTCTGTAACCAGGCCCATCATGGTCGCTCCTGTCGCTGTACAGGCCCGTCACAGTCGCTCCTGTCTCTGTACAGCCCGTCACGTCGCTCCTTTCCTCTGTACAGGCCATCACGTCGCTCCTGTCTCTGTACAGCTGCCTCTGAGGGAAGCTCTTATCTGATAATAGCTCCTGTTCCAATTCAGCTCGTTGCTCCTTTAAACTCTGCCGTTCACGACTCCCACCCGGCGCAGCGTGGGCTTCTCCGCCGCCTAAACCCTCTCACACCCATTAGATTTAACCCCCGGGACGACCTCGAACATTTGATCACCTCAACACATCTTTCTCATTGTGTAACTGGATCTTGTCTTTGGGATTAGTCTGAGGGTGCGGCACATTAGTAGACTATATTTCTATCATTTTGAGTAGGGACAGAAACATCATCAACATTTCTATACAATTTGTCAGTGTTAGTCGATGCAGGTAGTTTTCAACTGTGGTCCCAAAGCAAGGTGTAAAAGGCTGAAAACACAGCCAAACAATATCTAGGAAATAAAGGGTTTAAACTTTACAATGTAAAACTGGTCATTAAAACATTTAAAAAAGGCTTATTACAAATACCTAATGGAGGATTTTCCAATCACCATGTTTTAAACGAGTGTTTAAAATCCTCATGCTAGCACTCTTTGGAATGCCAAAAAAAGCTCAAGGCTACAATCCAAAGTATGTGTTCATTATCATGTACTGTCCCCCACCAAATGAACAATAAATAATAAATAAATAAGTGTTTTAAAGTCACCATCAAAACGACAGCTGCAGCGATATGAATGTGCGACCCTATAGTTTTTTAAACCAGAATCCCAGCGTTGTTAGAACTTTTCATGGACCAAAGGGACTTAACATTTAGTGTAATTTCTGCGCATTGCACCCATACTTGGTTTTGGTGTAGGAGAAACCGGACCACCTGAGAGGAAACCTACCAGACACAGGAGAACATGCAAACCCTGACAAAAAGCCCTTGTTCTGACCCAGGAATCAAACCCAGGACCTGAAGCTGTAAAGCCATGATGTCTGTACCTACTGATATGGTACTGTATGATTATACTTTTCTACCGGGACAGGTGAGGAGATGCCATTGGGACACCCCCCAGTGGTGTGGTTGCAAAGGCACGTGCCAAACCCAATTTTATTTACGGCCCTTAGTGTCACCCTGAGTTATAACAAGAATTTAATGTGCAATAAAACACACAATGGTGTCAAAGCTCATTTTGGACGAATGAAAAAAAATAGAAACTGGTTGGCCCAAAAGAATGAGAATTTGCTATTTTTGCATATTTTATATGTATTGTTTTTTAACATCATGACAGTATTTTTACATGACTATTAATATGCTTATTATTTTCTTGTTTATTGTCTAAAAACGAGATGTTCTTAGATTTAACCAAAACTGGAAGCAAAACAAATGGTTCTATATAACTTCTTTATTTTTTTAATGATGTGTTGATTAAATTTAAAGAATACATTTAAACTACAATATGTAAGATTTTCATGTCAAGTCATAAATAAAGGGCCCTAATCGGTCATCATTAAAGGTCCTAATCTGTCATCATTAACAGGGCCCTAATCGGTCCATCATAAAGGGTCCTAATCTGTTAACATAAAGGGCCCTAATCTGTCATCATTCAAGGGCCCTAATCCTGTCATCATTAAAGTGCCCTAATCTGTCATCATGAAAGGGTCCTAATCTTTCATCATTAAAGGGTCCTAACTTTAATCATTAAAGGGCCCTAATCTGTCATCCATTAAAGGGTCTAATCGTCATCATTAAAGGGGTCTTAATTTGTCATCATTAAAGGGTCCTAATCTGTCATCATAAAGGGCCCTAATCTGTCATCATTAAAGGGCCACTCATCGTCAGCATTAAAGGGCCTAAATCTGTCATCTTAAAGGGTCCTAATCTTGTCAACATGTAAAGGGCCCTTAATCTGTCATCATTAAAGGGCCCGAATCTGTCATCATTAAAGGCCCTAATCTGTCAGATCATTACAGGGCCCTAACTGTCAATCATTAAAGGGCCATAAATCTGTCCTCATTAAAGGTCCAATCTGTCATCATTATAGGGCCCTAATCTGTCAATCATTAAAGGCCCTAATCTGTCATCATTAAAGGGCCCTAACTGACATCAATTAAAGGGCCCTAAACTGTCATCATTAAAGGCCCTAATCTTCATCATTAATGGGCCCTAATCTTGTCAAAAGACATTAATAAACCGACTCTTTGGGAGAGTGGGAAGGCTGCAGTACCACTTTTGGCCTGATTTTACATAAGTTCTCCTTTTTTTTAGAAATAGATGTAAAAACATACCTTCTCACCCATTACCAGCGAGTTATGGTACTGTACACTGGAGGAGTCACAAAAATAGTCTTGCAAGGCCAGATTTCATTTCATATGTCTATTTATTTATGGCTCTGATCCTGAGTTTGACCATTCTGATCTTTAATCACACTGAACTGATAACCTGGTTTATAATATCTAATATTGCTTCTTTTGGTGTTTTGTGACTGATAAGAACCAATTGCATTAGTAAATGTTAACAGTGTACACAGTGCAGCCAATCACCCCATCTCTCCCTGAGCGACTAGAACAACCCCCCATCCTCTTGAGCGACTAGAACAACCCCCATCTCACCCTGAAGCGATTAGAACAACCCCCCCATCTCTCCCATGAGCGACTAGAACAACCCCACATCTCTCCTTGAGCGACTAGAACATCCCCCCATCTCTCCTGAGCGACTATAACAACCCCCCATCTCTCCTTGAGCGACTAGAACAACCCCCACTCTCCTTGAGCAACTAGAACAACACCCCATCTCTCCTTGAGCGACTAGAAACAACCCCCCATCTCTCCCTGACGACTAGACAACCCCCCATCTCTCCCTGAGCGACGGAACAACCTCCCCCATCGTCTCCCTGAGCGACTCTGAACAACCCCCCAATCTCTCCCTGAGCACTAGAACAACCCCCCATCTCTCCCTGACGACTAGAAAAACCCCCCATCTCTCCCTGAGCGACTAGAACAACCCCCCATCTTCTCCCTGACGACTAGAACAACCCCCATCCTCTCCTTGGAGAAAGGCGACTAGAACAACCCCCCCATCTCTCCCTGAGCGACTAGAACAACCCCCCATCTCTCCTTGACGACTAGAACTACCCCCCATCTCTCCCTGAGCGACTAGAACAACCCCCCATCTCTCCTTAGCGACCTAAACAACCCCCATCTCTCCCGAGCACTAGAACAACCCCCCATCCTCCATTGATCGACTAGAACAACCCCCCACTCCTACCTGAGCCGACGTAAACAACCCCCCATCTCTCCCTGAGCGACTAGAACAACCCCCAATCCCCACCTCTCTGTTCTCCTGCTGAAAAACTCTCTGCTCTTGAACTTCTCTTGCCCCTATCCTCCCCTTACATCATGAGTAGACGCGAATTACCCATCCATTTTTCTTCTGTTGTATTGAATGGATTGATGATGCTGCCGGGGGGGAGCGGGCGTGACCTTTGTTCCGCTCACTCCATCTCACGGTGGGCGTCTTACGGTCAGCGATCGCTTCAAACATCGCCACCATTCGTTATCGAACGCGGGACACCACTGACATAACGGCTTCCTGTTCAGATGAATGGCGGATTAGAGTTAAACAGCTCTTTGTGCGGCACTTAAAACGCCACGAAGCACAATACACAGAGAAGCACCTGGAAACTATTATTTTCTTTCTTCAGATCTCAGAGATAAGAACGCTGTGTCCTGTGGATTGTTGACCTGAGGGTATTGACAGAAGAAGGCCAGCCTCCATTTGACTCGACTTGCTTCATCGATACTCGCTCGATACGAAGAGCACATACCAGGACCAGTCTCAGATAGAATATATTTCTAACACACTGTTGGAAAACCTCTTTCAGATCACACGTCCGCACTGAGAGAGTGTTCTAGATCCAAAAGATAAAACATGACTTAGGCTGTCGGCTTGGGAGATTTGGAAGCTGAGATTTCTCCCACCTATAATCAAACACACTGAAAAAAGTGAATTTGGTAAGATTCAATTACTAAAAACAACATAAATTATGCTTATTTTTAAAGATTGTTTTTTCTGCTGAATGAGTTTGTCATGTAAAAAAAAACTAGTAAAAAGAACGTATTTTACTGGTTTTAAGAATAATAACACTGCGAAATTATTATTAGAGATTAAAATGTCTGAGCAATGACTTTTAATCACTTTAAAGTATTTTTTGGTCTGATATCCAGACCACATTTCTTGTTTGTTAGGAGGAGAATAAAATAAGTACAAAAATAATCCCTCTCACACCAACCACCGAAGGTGAGCATGTTCCATCCATCATTTTCTTCCGCTTCATCCGTTGCCGAGATTGTAGGGTACAGCAATCATCCAGGGAGTCCAAGCTGAGAGACGACTGGGCCACCTCACCTGGTTTCGCTGCCTGATTGCAGAACAGCGACTCTACTCTGAGCCCTCTCCCTTCACGCTATGAGATATGATAAAACAAAACCGAATAAAATACTGAAAATCTATTTTTGTATTTCGCTCTCATGCTTTTCATTTCTTACTATATTTAAAAAAAATATATATATATTTAGAATAAATATCCACCCAAATATTAACAAAAACGTTGAAAATTACTGCCTTACAAACTAGCGCAATAGCATTAGCCCCTACCCCCAAATACCCTTTTAAAAACTCAATTTAAAATATTTAGTAAAAACAACTTTCAAAAATAACTTTATCGTCAGAAAACCCCCATTCATCTCTACTTTTCACATCTCATTCAAACCCATAAAAAGGTGCTAAAACCAGTAAAAAAAGCCTAAACAGACATTTGTGTTTTCCAAATCAATTTCTTAGATGTTTCTCTTCAGGCATAGAGTTATTCAAGAAAACACTCTCATTCATTATTATTTTATCTAGTATCTTCTACTGAGTAAAAAGTCTGTCTGAACCGAGTCTCCAAACACTATTTGTGATTTTCTCATCCGTGTCAACAGCGAGTTTCCTCTTTTGTGTAATTAGTCTGGTCGTGTCTGTCTTTGGTTTACGGAGCACAAAGATAACAGCCAATAACAGCCAACTAACTGCAATAACAGCCAATAACACCAATAACTGCCAATAACAGCCAATAACAGCCAATAACAGCTAATAATGGATACATGCCATATCCCTCGTCAGCGTTCTATGCAATACCACGTAATACTCTCACTTGTTTGCAAAGGAGCCGGATAATTACTTTTTCACAAATTTATGAAGTCACATGGTACTTTCATTTATGGTAGATTACGTTGAAATTACGTGAGATTTACAGTGAGATTACGGTGAATTACGGTGGATTACGTGAGATTACGGTGAGGATTACGGTGAGATTGACAGTGAATTACGGTGAATTACAGTGATAGTCGGTGGGATTACGGTGAGATTACGTGAGATTACCTCAGCCACTCTATCCCTCATCTGATTTTCTGTAATCATATTTCTGTTAACATTAGTGTTCGGTGAAGGTCCCGCAGGAGTAAAAACATGTAACGCTGAATAATTATGCTAGATAACGCGACAGCTCCGCAAAAGTTAACGAGACCGCTGCGGTTTTAGACATGAGGTCGCTCAAGCACTGTGAAGAGACATGCTCTAGGTAAAACATGACCACAGCAACACTGACTCCCAGGTTTGTTTTGAGTTGATTTTGTTAAAATGTTTTCTTTTTTTTTACAGCCCCGATGTCCTGGCCCATCAGGTCCAAACAGACCGGTCTCTCTCAGTCCCCTGGACCCAGACTCTGAACAAACCCCTGAATGTGTCCTGTTCTCACTGCCTTTTTTAAAACAGGCACAAAACTCATTCCTTCAGACAGATTCTTTTACACTTTCAACACTTTTTTGCGCGGTGACACTTTTTTTAATGCTCTGTTAAGGCTTTTTTTAACAGTTTCTTTATTGTTGGGTGCATGTTTGAACGATTTTGATGTGATTTTATTGAATAGCACTTTTTATCGCTTGAGTGTTGTAAGAGGCTCTATAAAAGTACAGTATATTGTATCTGAAAATAAATGGTCGATACTAAAAGATCTCAATAAACCGTGAAACCTAAGGAGCAAAGCTGTACGTTCATTTTCCTGGAATGAAAATACATTTAGCTTGAAACATATAAAACTAGATGAAGTGGCTGAGGCGGGAGACGGGATCCTGGGAAGTGAACCCTCCTGGAACGACAATGGTTTCTTTCCCTTTTCTCCAGGTCCTCCACAAACTCTGAACAAACAGAGTTAGCCTCAGGGTCGGGGACTTGCTGAGAATGTCTGAATTTAAATGTTCTGACATAAAGAAGAAATAATTATTAGTGCCCATCAAACATGATACTGAAGACTTTTTACGGTGGCCTTTTTTGTTTTAGGATGTGAAATAAAACCTAAGTGTAAAATGTATCACCCTGTGCAGACAGCACAGGAGACAAACATGTTTTTATTGTTTGTTCCCAAATTTTAAATATTAACGACCGAGGCCTACATGTTGGCGGCCAGATATGCCAATGTTTTTACTTTTTATCATCATTTTTTGCAGTGAAAAGTTTTTTGAAAGTGACTGGAAGATAATACAGTCTATGCACTGAGTAAATAAGTATATACTCTTTATTTATATAATCAGTTTTACAGACCCGCAGTCACACCAGAACTTTACTATGTTCAGAAAGGGCTTAAATAAGAACATTTGCCCTGACCAGCACACACACACACACACCACAGATACACACACACACCACAACGCACGGTGGCTGAGTGAAGCAACTCTTGCCTCTCAGCAAGAAGTCCTGGGTTCGACACCAGGGCCTTTCTGAGTGCGTTTTTTGCATGTTCTCACCCGTGTCAGGCGTAGGTGTCCTCCAGGAACTCCCGGTTTCCCCTACCACTAAAAAAATATGTACATATAGGTCTGGCATGTGCCTCCTGTACTGGCCCCGCTCCCCATCTCTGTGTGAGTAGAGACAATTGTCCGCGGAAGAAAAAAATAACACACACACACCACACACACACACACACACACACACACACACACACACCACACACACACACACACACACACACACACACACACACACACACACACACACACACACACACACACACACACACACACACACACACACACACACATACACGTTTTTGTTACCTGGTGGGTCCCTTTGACAGGGCCGTTCAGAATGGGACCCATAGACATAATCTTTTTTTACCAAGACTTTAAGTAATACAAAACAGTCAATAGAAACCAAACAACTATTTTAAAGGAATTTTATTTTAGATTTTGTTTTCGAATTGCAGTGATTCTATTTTTGACATAGAATTTAATGCCACTCCATGTCCGATGTCTAAGGTCATCTGGTGAGGCATTAATGCAGGCCAGGCAGTGAGACTTCCCAGGGACCTTTCCAGTCTGTATGAAAGGTGTCATGGTCTTCTCCACAGCCTTCACCTCAGATGCAGACCATGGCTTTCTTACACGTTCTAGGGAGAGAAATAAAAATATATTAGCAATATACACTCCCAGGGTGAGGACCAAGCAGCCTGGCTGTAATCCCCCACCTGGTACACTTACCAGAAGGGGCACTGCCACTACCATGGGGTGCATCTGGATGAATGGTTGAAGGTTCTCCGCTTGAAGTTTCTTTTAGCCCGTCCGTTTGTGAGAGGATCTCTACTGCTCTCCCTGTCGCACAGAAAATAAAAATACAAGTGGCCTTTAGGGGAAAAAAATCATACATATTTTAATAATATCAAGAATTACCTTCAGGCTCAATTTGTATCTGGTCGAGGCTCTTTCCTTCGAATTCCGTCACTCTTCCCTGCTCCATGGCCATCAACACTTTGCTGATTTTGGCCAGCTCCAGTGTCCCCTCTGGTAGTCTGTAATATTGCCTGTGGATGCGAATGTCATGGCCGAGGAAGTTGGCAAGTATGTCCATCTCATTCTCTTTCATATTGAGAACTGTAGACATAGTAGCTATGTGCTTTCTAAGTTTGGTTGAGGATAGCATCTCTGGATGCACCGCACCACATTCTTTGGCTACCTGGCGTAGGGAGTCTGATCCCCTGATGTGGGTGTCTGCGCCCGGGCGGGAAAAGAAGTATGGGTTATGGTCAGAGATGGAACAGGCCCTTCTGTTCTCCACCAGCACCTCCATCGAAGCAATCATTTCAGGAGTCAAAAGAACCGGCACTTTCCGACTTCTTTTCCCTTTAATTTCAATGCGTTGAAAATGCTGACACAGCTTTTTCTCAAGTTGGGACAGTCCCAGAGCAATGTCAGAATGGATCCCAGTCTTACTTCTTAAGGTAAAGGCTGTCAGTGGCATCTTTGAAACCTCACCTTCCCTTCTTCGATTGAAAATGATGACCTCACAAAGAGTCAAAACTGCCAGTTTAGACCAATGCTTAGACGTTGGCTCACTTATTAGGGTTTGCACATATTCAGGTCGACATACCTCAATATGTGCATGCATGGCTCTAACGTCCTCAGTCAGAGGGAGCAGGTCCGGAGTGTTCCACTTGGCTTGCCGGAGGGTCTGTAGGGCAGCAGAAGAAACACAGACGTCCCACCTCTTCTCAAAAAGCAGCCGGCTTCGTTGGAGGTTTTTAATAAATAGTTCATCAACACAATGCTCCATTTTTGGAGTCACATTCAAGAATATCTGCTAGCTTTCTGAGGCTATGGCCGAGTTTGAGGGCCAATGATGGAGTCTTGTATTGATTTGTTTCCTCATCAAATCCAGCCACAGACCTGACTGCATCAATCACATGGTTAAAGTTGGAAGGAATAAAGAAATCCTTAATTGTTTTCAGTTTCCCTGCGGTTTTTGCTTCGTTAATTAACCTACCGACTTCTCTCATTTTCTGCCTAATGTAATCATGCTTTGTCTTATCATGCCCGTGTTTTAAGTACAGGTGCTCTCCGAGTCTCAGAATCCCCTTTTCTGCTTTGACAACACCCGTGACCTCATCCTGATGCATTGCCCAAATTAAAGACCACAGCTTTTTGCTGATGCCCTCCGGTACAGGCTGGGCTAGGGAGCAGAGGGACTGGACCCTACTTCTACCTGGTTTAGCCTGGTTTAGCCTGGTTTAGCCTGGGCATCTTTCTGTGAAAGCCGGCACCTGGCCACATGCCTCCACAGCGACTTTCGCTTAAGCAATGCCCCACAGTCTATACAGTGCAAAAACTCACTGGATTTAACTGGGGAATTTGGCTGTTTAGCTGGGACTAAAGTTCCAATGCCGGCCTTTAAAACCTCAAAATTGTGCTCACGGTTTCCACTATTCCTGATCAAATCAAACTGAAGTTTACGTGCTTTAGATCAGTGTCTCCCAAAGTGGGGTCCGCGGCCCCCTGGTGGGCCGCGAGGGTACTGCAGGGGGGCCGCGGGAGGTCATAAAAAAAATTAAAAAAGAATATAATTATTTAATGTTAAATTTATAATGTTTTGTTTGTAATATTCAAATATTTGTGTTCATTATTTGACTTGAATAATCCACTGTAATCATTTTTGTATTACAATGTTTGTAGCAGAGGCTATTTCCCCAAAATAAAATAACCAGAAGAGCCTATTCTTAATGTTGTCTTCTTGGTTATTATTTTGGGGGGCCACGCAGACCCGTCAGATTTTTAAGGGGGCCTCGGTGTTACTGAGTTTGGGAATGGCTGCTTTAGATTTCACAGGTAGAGCCAATGCTCTGGCTACGTCACTTTCATTTCCATGTTTTCTAGTCAAATGACGGGACATTTTGTGGCAGGACATTGAACAGTAGAGGCAGAAGTGTCTCTTGCTGTAAACTCGCCCCCCATTTTTCTTCTTTTGCAGCTGCATGATAACAATCTTATTTGCCTTTGGTTCGTCACTTTCCGAGTCTTGAAGAAAAGTGTTTTTGATTTTTCTTTTTCCATACTTTTTTACAGGTTTCTTCTTGACAGTTAAATCGTCAGAATCTGAGTCGACTTCATCAATTAGGGACTCTTGACTAAGCTGCACAAACAACAAATAATTTGTAATCATTCTATATAACAATTTGAAGTCATGACTTGTAGTCAGCACTTACCAGTGGTTTGTAAGCGTGCGCTTCAGTGTGCTGCTCTGTGATTGGCTGCAGCCTAATGAACCACACACTTGCACCTTTTCTAGCCTGACACCTGACTTCCTCTGTTGTGCTGCTCCATGATTGGCTCCAGCCTCTGTTGTGCTGCTCCATGATTGGCTCCAGCCTCTGTTGTGCTGCTCCATGATTGGCTCCAGCCTGCTGGACTGAAATTGCCCCAGTGTGCCCCTCCTTGATATCCCGCAACCCACCACCAGGGTTCCGACACATAACACACTTTTTTCAGGAAAGTAAACCTCCAGGGGTCCTTTCCATATTTTTACAGAGACTGCATAAGGACCGTTAGAAAAGCATTACCCATTGATTATTAAGCTTGGACCAGTGGGGTCCGGTGTTCGGGCCCCACCACGTAAAACCAGTCCCCATGACGTGAGTGGAATCTCAGGTTATGGAACCCACTAGGAGTTGAAAACAAGTGCACACGTACACACACACACAGATACACACACAGACACATGCAGACATACATACACACACACACACACACACATACACACACACACACACACACACACACACACACACACACACACACACACACACACACACACACACACACACACACACACACACACACACACACACACACACAGAGACACACACACACACACACACACATACACACACACACACACACACAGACACACACACACACACACACACACACACACACACACACACACACACACACACACACACACACACACACACACACACACACACACACACACACAGACACACAGACACACACACACATGGTTAAATCCTGCACTGGTGTTTGGCCTGTGGTGTCCCTCATATTCATCCAAACACACTTTGATTTAGAGAGATTCACATTTACAGACTATACAATTATATTTATGATCAATATTTATGGACTTTGGTCATCTGCCCCTGTGTGCTGATCTGACTGAGGCTGTAGACCCAGGACTGAGGCTGTAGACCCAGGACTGAGGCTGTAGACCCAGGACTGAGGCTGTAGACCCAGGACTGAGGCTGTAGACCCAGGACTGAGGCTGTAGACTGAGGACTGAGGCTGTAGACCCAGGACTGAGGCTGTAGACACAGGACTGAGGCTGTAGACCCAGGACTGAGGCTGTAGACTGAGGACTGAGGCTGTAGACCCAGGACTGAGGCTGTAGACCCAGGACTGAGGCTGTAGACTGAGGACTGAGGCTGTAGACCCAGGACTGAGGCTGTAGACCCAGGACTGAGGCTGTAGATCCAGGACTGAGGCTGTAGACCCAGGACTGAGGCTGTAGACCCAGGACTGAGGCTGTAGACTGAGGACTGAGGCTGTAGACCCAGGACTGAGGCTGTAGACCCAGGACTGAGGCTGTAGACCCAGGACTGAGGCTGTAGACACAGGACTGAGGCTGTAGACCCAGGACTGAGGCTGTAGACTGAGGACTGAGGCTGTAGACCCAGGACTGAGGCTGTAGACTGAGGACTGAGGCTGTAGACCCAGGACTGAGGCTGTAGATCCAGGACTGAGGCTGTAGACCCAGGACTGAGGCTGTAGACCCAGGACTGAGGCTGTAGACCCAGGACTGAGACTGTAGACCCATGTTTTTTTGATTTTCACATTCTCAGACTTCTCGCTCGTGGTCTCGGCGGCGTCCATCTGTTGCCATGGCAGCAAATAACATCCTTTTAAGCATTTCTCACATGGCTTCCTCTAATGGCCGCCTGCAGTCCATTCTCCTCCAATCAGACGCCAGCACCATTACCCCTGTCAATCAGACGCCTCCTGGACAGTGTTTGTGAGCCGCTGTGGACGAGCTGACACACTCCTGTTTAAAGCATCCCATAATAACCCCCCCCCCCACCCGCTGGGCTGTAATCATGCTGTTATAGACTTCAGGAAATAATTAATGTTTAAATAAGGACAGAATGTGACCAGTTTAATTGTGTGGCACATTTAGAGACTGGGAACTCCACAGAACAGAAACTATAAGAATTTAAAATGATCTCCTTTAATAATTAGAAAGACTGGAGATCAAAGTAGAGATGTGTTTTGTCGCTGATGAAGCCTGGACGGGGCTAAAACCCGCCGCAGGTCTGTGGACATGACAGACCTCACACTCGGTCTCCTCTTGGCCTCACTTGACTCACTGACCCCTCGTCCTGGGGTCACCAATTAGAGCCCGTCTGTCAGCCGCAAGCCGGGATGGAGGCACCGGCGGCCATGTTGGAGCTGTCCAAGAGGAAAGGTCTCCACAGAGTCACAGAGAACAGCAGGAGCACAAGTCTGCACCAGCGTCACACACATGGTGCTTTTAAAACACACAACAACAACCACAACGCACAACACCACACAACAAGAGCAAGAAGAAGAAGTAGAACAACAAGAACAAGAAGAAGAAGAAGTAGAACAACAAGAACAAGAAGAAGAAGAAGTAGAACAACAAGAACAATAAGAAGAAGAAGTAGAACAACAAGAACAACAACACCACACAACAACAAGAAGTGGGAGAAGAAGAAGAAGAACAACAACACACAACAAGAAGTAGAAGTAGAAGAAGAAGATAAAGTCTGATGTGAAGAACTATCTCCTCACAGACACAGATCAGGGCCTCACACTGCCCCCTACTGGACACAGGTGTAGCCCCCACTGAGAGGGCTCTACATGTTATACATCATTTTAATCTCATCAACAGTGTATGCGATGACAGACAGTGTCATGGACCTTCAAAAGTACCTCATATTTATTTATATAGCACAGTCACAGTCAGAGAGAGACTGGGGAGAGCTACAGGAGGCTCAGACCTATTGTCCAGGTCTGCACCAGAAATAATAAACATGATTAAAACCAAGAACACAAAGTCTCTGTCTTTGGTCCAGTCCCGCTGCTCTGAAATATACAGTTAAAATACAAAGTTAAAAGCATCATGGACAGAGGAGAGTGAAACAGAAACACTGGACAATGCCTGTGTCTGTAGCTGCATACACAATAAGTCACTTTAAGTCACTTGCACTTGGACTGAAAACCTGCTCTACCATTGGACTGAAAACCTGCTCTACCATCGGACTGAAAACCTGCTCTACCATTGGACTGAAAACCTGCTCTACCATCGGACTGAAAACCTGCTCTACCACGACTGAAAACCTGCTCTACCATTGGACTGAAAACCTGCTCTACCATTGGACTGAAAACCTGCTCTACCATCGGACTGAAAACCTGCTCTACCATTGGACTGAAAACCTGCTCTACCATTGGACTGAAAACCTGCTCTACCACGACTGAAAACCTGCTCTACCATTGGACTGAAAACCTGCTCTACCATTGGACTGAAAACCTGCTCTACCATCGGACTGAAAACCTGCTCTACCATTGGACTGAAAACCTGCTCTACCATTGGACTGAAAACCTGCTCTACCACGACTGAAAACCTGCTCTACCATTGGACTGAAAACCTGCTCTACCATTGGACTGAAAACCTGCTCTACCATCGGACTGAAAACCTGCTCTACCATTGGACTGAAAACCTGCTCTACCATTGGACTGAAAACCTGCTCTACCATTGGACTGAAAACCTGCTCTACCATCGGACTGAAAACCTGCTCTACCATTGGACTGAAAACCTGCTCTACCATTGGACTGAAAACCTGCTCTACCACGACTGAAAACCTGCTCTACCATTGGACTGAAAACCTGCTCTACCATTGGACTGAAAACCTGCTCTACCATCGGACTGAAAACCTGCTCTACCATTGGACTGAAAACCTGCTCTACCATTGGACTGAAAACCTGCTCTACCACGACTGAAAACCTGCTCTACCATTGGACTGAAAACCTGCTCTACCATCGGACTGAAAACCTGCTCTACCATTGGACTGAAAACCTGCTCTACCATTGGACTGAAAACCTGCTCTACCACGACTGAAAACCTGCTCTACCATTGGACTGAAAACCTGCTCTACCATTGGACTGAAAACCTGCTCTACCATTGGACTGAAAACCTGCTCTACCATCGGACTGAAAACCTGCTCTACCATTGGACTGAAAACCTGCTCTACCATTGGACTGAAAACCTGCTCTACCACGACTGAAAACCTGCTCTACCATTGGACTGAAAACCTGCTCTACCATTGGACTGAAAACCTGCTCTACCATTGGACTGAAAACCTGCTCTACCATTGGACTGAAAACCTGCTCTACCATTGGACTGAAAACCTGCTCTACCATTGGACTGAAAACCTGCTCTACCACGACTGAAAACCTGCTCTACCATTGGACTGAAAACCTGCTCTACCATTGGACTGAAAACCTGCTCTACCATCGGACTGAAAACCTGCTCTACCATTGGACTGAAAACCTGCTCTACCATTGGACTGAAAACCTGCTCTACCATTGGACTGAAAACCTGCTCTACCATTGGACTGAAAACCTGCTCCACCATTGGACTGAAAACCTGCTCTACCATCGGACTGAAAACCTGCTCTACCATTGGACTGAAAACCTGCTCTACCATTGGACTGAAAACCTGCTCTACCACGACTGAAAACCTGCTCTACCATTGGACTGAAAACCTGCTCTACCATTGGACTGAAAACCTGCTCTACCACGACTGAAAACCTGCTCTACCATTGGACTGAAAACCTGCTCTACCATTGGACTGAAAACCTGCTCTACCATCGGACTGAAAACCTGCTCTACCATTGGACTGAAAACCTGCTCTACCATTGGACTGAAAACCTGCTCTACCATCGGACTGAAAACCTGCTCTACCATTGGACTGAAAACCTGCTCTACCATTGGACTGAAAACCTGCTCTACCACGACTGAAAACCTGCTCTACCATTGGACTGAAAACCTGCTCTACCATTGGACTGAAAACCTGCTCTACCATCGGACTGAAAACCTGCTCTACCATTGGACTGAAAACCTGCTCTACCATTGGACTGAAAACCTGCTCTACCACGACTGAAAACCTGCTCTACCATTGGACTGAAAACCTGCTCTACCATCGGACTGAAAACCTGCTCTACCATTGGACTGAAAACCTGCTCTACCATTGGACTGAAAACCTGCTCTACCACGACTGAAAACCTGCTCTACCATTGGACTGAAAACCTGCTCTACCATTGGACTGAAAACCTGCTCTACCATTGGACTGAAAACCTGCTCTACCATCGGACTGAAAACCTGCTCTACCATTGGACTGAAAACCTGCTCTACCATTGGACTGAAAACCTGCTCTACCACGACTGAAAACCTGCTCTACCATTGGACTGAAAACCTGCTCTACCATTGGACTGAAAACCTGCTCTACCATTGGACTGAAAACCTGCTCTACCACGACTGAAAACCTGCTCTACCATTGGACTGAAAACCTGCTCTACCATCGGACTGAAAACCTGCTCTACCATTGGACTGAAAACCTGCTCTACCATTGGACTGAAAACCTGCTCTACCACGACTGAAAACCTGCTCTACCATTGGACTGAAAACCTGCTCTACCATTGGACTGAAAACCTGCTCTACCATTGGACTGAAAACCTGCTCTACCATCGGACTGAAAACCTGCTCTACCATTGGACTGAAAACCTGCTCTACCATTGGACTGAAAACCTGCTCTACCACGACTGAAAACCTGCTCTACCATTGGACTGAAAACCTGCTCTACCATTGGACTGAAAACCTGCTCTACCATTGGACTGAAAACCTGCTCTACCATTGGACTGAAAACCTGCTCTACCATTGGACTGAAAACCTGCTCTACCATTGGACTGAAAACCTGCTCTACCACGACTGAAAACCTGCTCTACCATTGGACTGAAAACCTGCTCTACCATTGGACTGAAAACCTGCTCTACCATTGGACTGAAAACCTGCTCTACCATCGGACTGAAAACCTGCTCTACCATTGGACTGAAAACCTGCTCTACCATTGGACTGAAAACCTGCTCTACCACGACTGAAAAACCTGCTCTACCATTGGACTGAAAACCTGCTCTACCATTGGACTGAAAACCTGCTCTACCATTGGACTGAAAACCTGCTCTACCATTGGACTGAAAACCTGCTCTACCATTGGACTGAAAACCTGCTCTACCATTGGACTGAAAACCTGCTCCACCATTGGACTGAAAACCTGCTCTACCATCGGACTGAAAACCTGCTCTACCATTGGACTGAAAACCTGCTCTACCATTGGACTGAAAACCTGCTCTACCATTGGACTGAAAACCTGCTCCACCATTGGACTGAAAACCTGCTCTACCATTGGACTGAAAACCTGCTCTACCATTGCCACTTTTGATTGTACATAATTAAATACTGCACAGACCATATTTTTTGCACAAATCTGAGTGATTCTGAGCGTTCCATTTCTCCATCAGAGATCCATAAACTCCAGTCCGGTTTACTCTCTCATATCTGTGCAGACTAAAGTGTTTGTCCTGTGGAGAGTCTCATAAAGTGCCGGTGCTCAGAGTTCATGTTTGTGTGGGAGCCTTCAGCGTGTCGTGGCGGCGGCGCCTCGTGTCGTGGCGGCGGCGCCTCGTCAGCGTGTGTCAGACGGAGTGGCAGCTTATTACACTTTTGTTTTCGGCCTCGTAATGTGGAGCAGTGATGGGAGTCAGGCTCTCCCCCACACGCCTCCCCCACACGCCTCCCCCCCTCCCACACGGCGCCTCTCCTCCCAGGCAGAGGTGGGCGATAATGGGCCTGTCAAAGCCCAGCGCCCGCCGCCTCAGCCCCGTTTGGCCCCGTTTGGCCCCGTTTGGCCCCGCTCCCCCTGACTGAAGGCTGAGCGCAGACGTCATGGCCTTTGTTTCTACTGCTGCAATGTGACATCACAGACTCAGAGACGCACACAGACGCACACAGACACACACAGACGCATACAGAGTCAGAGCAGGTTCATAGACACACACAGACTCAGAGACACACACACACAGACTCAGAGCAGGTTCACAGACGCACACAGACACACACAGACGCATACAGAGTCAGAGCAGGTTCATAGACACACACAGACTCAGAGACACACACAGACGCATACAGAGTCAGAGCAGGTTCATAGACACACACAGACTCAGAGACACACACAGACGCACACAGAGTCAGAGCAGTTTCACAGACACACTCAGAGACACACACAGACGCATACAGAGTCAGAGCAGGTTCATAGACACACACAGACTCAGAGACACACACAGACGCACACAGAGTCAGAGCAGTTTCACAGACACACTCAGAGACACACACACACAGACGCACACAGAGTCAGATCAGGTTCACAGACACACACAGACTCAGAGACACACACACACAGACTCAGAGCAGGTTCACAGACACACACAGACGCACACAGAGTCAGAGCAGTTTCACAGACACACTCAGAGACACACACACACAGACGCACACAGAGTCAGAGCAGTTTCACAGACACACACAGACACACTCAGACACACACACACACAGACTCAGAGCAGGTTCACAGACACACACAGACACACACAGAGACACACACACACAGACGCACACAGAGTCAGAGCAGTTTCACAGACACACAGACACACACAGACACACACAGACGCACACAGAGTCAGAGCAGTTTCACAGACACACTCAGAGACACACACACACAGACGCACACAGAGTCAGAGCAGTTTCACAGACACACAGACACACACAGACACACACAGACGCACACAGAGTCAGAGCAGTTTCACAGACACACTCAGAGACACACACACACAAACACACACAGACTCAGACACATACAGACTAAGAGACACACAGACATCTCTGAAGCTAAGCAGGACAGGGCCTGGTCAGTGCTGTGATGGGAGACCTCTGGGAACAGCAGGTGCCACAGTGGGGCGGCTGCGGCTGTAAAGTGCCAAACTGTGGTTGTGTCCTTAGGCAAGACACTTCCCCCACATTAGAATGAGTCTGGTGTGTGTGTGAGTGGTTGGTGGTGGTGGGAGGGGCTTCTGTCAGTGTGCCCCAGGGCAACTGTGGCTACAGTAGTTTATCATCACTGTGTTTGGAGAGAGAGGATACTGATGTGAAGAGACTTTGAATGTCCAGAAAAGCAGTGTATAAAACGGATGCATTATTATTATTATTATTATTTTTTAGATGATGTGTTAGCACTGACCGTGCTAATGGGCTAACGGCTAACACAACCCGTTAGCCCATTAGCATGACATCGCTATACTTTAGCAGTCAAACAGAAGCATTCGTACACATCCAGAGAAGGGCACGGGTCGGCACCTGTTCTCCACACCTCCTCGCTCACCTCCAGACAGAGCTAAGGCGCACTGACAGCTGAGGCTATTGCTAATCCAGCTGAGGCTAATGCTAATCCAGCTGCGGCGAATGCTAATCCAGCTGAGGCTAATGCTAATCCAGCTGTGGCTAATGCTAATCCAAACAAACACGAGCCAGATGCTACTCTCCAGACGTCTTTTTAAAGGACACATCTTTAGCTTTTCTGTCGATTACGAGGGAAATAATATGTTTTTTATGTTCTTTTTATGTATTTTGACACAAAAATGTATCAAAAGGCACAATACACACACACACACACACACAGACCCACACACACACACACACACACACAGGTTTTTACATGTAAACCAGTATAATGGAACTTAATAGGGGTTTTTACATGGTAAACCAGTATAATGCAACTTAATAGGGGTTTTTTACATGTAAACCAGTATAATGCAACTTAATGGGGATTTTTCCATGTAAACCAGTATAATGCAACTTAATAGGGATTTTTACATGTAAACCAGTATAATGCAACTTAATGGGGATTTTTCCATGTAAACCAGTATAATGCAACTTAATAGGGGTTTTTACATGTAAACCAGTATAATGCAACTTAATAGGGTTTTTTCCATGTAAACCAGTATAATGCAACTTAATAGGGATTTTTCCATGTAAACCAGTATAATGCAACTTAATAGGGATTTTTCCATGTAAACCAGTATAATGCAACTTAATAGGGTTTTTTTCATGTAAACCAGTATAATGCAACTTAATAGGGATTTCAACAGTTTAAAGGATATCAGGAGCTTCAAATACTTCAGGAGTTTCAAAGATGTTTAAAGTATTTTAACAGTTTCAAGGATTTCAAGGATTTTTCAGCTAAATTCCACATTAGATCTGTTCCGCAGTCAATCGCAATGGCTTCAGCCATTGCAACGGTTTCTAGTTTTTTCTGAAAACTCACAAGTTGTGGAAGCTGAACATGCACAAACTGCAGAAAATGCTGAAAATGTTGAAGAAAATTCTGAAAACTATGAATTTGTGGAAGCCCCATTATAAGTCAATGGGAAAAATCGACCGATTTTTGTCCGATTGCGGAAAAACCGGAAATCGCTGAAGTCCCAAAAGTAATAGCAATAATCTCCCAAACATGTGGAACGTTTTGATGTATAACTTGTGGAAATTGTTGAAAATGTGAAAGCTGTGAAACGTGTCAAAAATCAGGAAAAAGACGGAATAAAGAACGTGAAAACCAATGGTTGACTGCGGAAGGTTCCGCAGTCAATCAATAATGCATCGGTTTTATACAGCGCTTCACATGTCGGTGGTGATAAACTACTACTGTAGCCACGGCTGCCCTGGGGCACACTGACAGAAGCGAGGCAACCAGTCTGTGCCATCGGCCCCTCCCACCACCACCAACCATTCACACACACACCAGACTCATTCTAATGTGGGGGAAGTGTCTTGCCTAAGGACACAACCACAGTTTGCACTTCACAGCCACAGCCGCCCCACTGTGGCACCTGCTGTTCCCAGAGGTTCAGTGTCTTGCCCAAGGACACAACGACAGCAGACAGTGGGAGTCGGTGGAGAAAGTCTTGTGGTGGGTTCGAACCCAAGACCTTCTGGCTCAAAGACCAATGCTCTACAACTGAGCCACTGTCGCCCCAATACTCACACGGGTATTTGTTTGTAGTGTTGTTTACACTAGACACATTTTGTAACGATAACTAAGACACTTTCATTGATAAGAAGAAGACAGTTCTTTTCAATTGGATTCCAGGTGTTTTTGTGTGGCCAGAGATCACAACAGATCTACAGCCTCAGTCCTCGTTCTACAGTCTGAGTCCTGGATCTACAGCCTCAGTCCTCGTTCTACAGTCTGAGTCCTCGTTCTACAGTCTGAGTCCTGGGTCTACAGCCTCAGTCCTCGTTCTACAGTCTGAGTCCTGGATCTACAGCTTCAGTCCTCGTTCTACAGTCTGAGTCCTGGATCTACAACCTCAGTCCTCGTTCTACGGTCTGAGTCCTGGATCTACAGCGTCAGTCCTCGTTCTACAGTCTGAGTCCTGGGTCTACAGCCTCAGTCCTCGTTCTACGGTCTGAGTCCTGGATCTACAGCGTCAGTCCTCGTTCTACAGTCTGAGTCCTGGATCTACAGCCTCAGTCCTCGTTCTACAGTCTGAGTCCTGGATCTACAGCCTCAGTCCTCGTTCTACAGTCTGAGTCCTGGGTCTACAGCCTCAGTCCTCGTTCTACAGTCTGAGTCCTGGATCTACAGCCTCAGTCCTCGTTCTACAGTCTGAGTCCTGGATCTACAGCCTCAGTCCTCGTTCTACAGTCTGAGTCCTGGATCGACAGCCTCAGTCCTCGTTCTACAGTCTGAGTCCTGGATCTACAGCCTCCGTCCTCGTTCTACAGTCTGAGTCCTGGATCTACAGCCTCAGTCCTGGATCTACAGTCTGAGTCCTGGATCGACAGCCTCAGTCCTCGTTCTACAGTCTGAGTCCTGGATCTACAGCCTCAGTCCTGGATCTACAGCCTCAGTCCTCGTTCTACAGTCTGAGTCTGGATCGACAGCCTCAGTCCTCGTTCTACAGTCTGAGTCCTGGATCTACAGCCTCAGTCCTCGTTCTACAGTCTGAGTCCTGGATCTACAGCCTCAGTCCTCGTTCTACAGTCTGAGTCCTGGGTCTACAGCCTCCGTCCTCGTTCTACAGTCTGAGTCCTGGATCTAAAGCCTCAGTCCTCGTTCTACAGTCTGAGTCCTGGATCTAAAGCCTCAGTCCTCGTTCTACAGTCTGAGTCCTGGGTCTACAGCCTCAGTCCTCGTTCTACAGTCTGAGTCCTGGATCTACAGCCTCAGTCCTCGTTCTACAGCCTCAGTCCTGGATCTACAGCCTCAGTCCTCGTTCTACAGTCTGAGTCCTGGATCTACAGCCTCAGTCCTCGTTCTACAGTCTGAGTCCTGGGTCTACAGCCTCAGTCCTCGTTCTACAGTCTGAGTCCTGGATCTACAGCCTCAGTCCTCGTTCTACAGTCTGAGTCCTGGATCTACAGCCTCAGTCCTCGTTCTACAGTCTGAGTCCTGGATCTACAGCCTCAGTCCTCGTTCTACAGTCTGAGTCCTGGATCTACAGCCTCAGTCCTCGTTCTACAGTCTGAGTCCTGGATCTACAGCCTCTGTCCTCGTTCTACAGTCTGAGTCCTGGATCTAAAGCCTCAGTCCTCGTTCTACAGTCTGAGTCCTGGATCTAAAGCCTCAGTCCTCGTTCTACAGTCTGAGTCCTGGATCTAAAGCCTCTGTCCTCGTTCTACAGTCTGAGTCCTGGATCTACAGCCTCTGTCCTCGTTCTACAGTCTGAGTCCTGGATCTACAGCCTCTGTCCTCGTTCTACAGTCTGAGTCCTGGATCTAAAGCCTCAGTCCTCGTTCTACAGTCTGAGTCCTGGATCTAAAGCCTCAGTCCTCGTTCTACAGTCTGAGTCCTGGATCTAAAGCCTCTGTCCTCGTTCTACAGTCTGAGTCCTGGATCTAAAGCCTCAGTCCTCGTTCTACAGTCTGAGTCCTGGATCTAAAGCCTCTGTCCTCGTTCTACAGTCTGAGTCCTGGGTCTAAAGCCCGTCCTGTCTGTGTGGAGTGGATCCCTCTCTCTGTGGATCTGAGGTTTCTCACTTTTCTCCCACTGGGTTTTAGAGTTTTTCTTCTGATGCAGGAGTCTGTTGGAGTCAGTTAGTGTCTAAGAAGAAGGACTGTGATGATCCAGACACTTTAATATTCTACAACATTATTGACATTTATCAACATGTGTTCTATATTCTTTTTGTGTCTTAACTGTTGATTCTCTGATTTGTGATTTCAATGGTTTTGTTAAGTCTCTGAGATGATGCTGTTGTGATTTAGGGAGCGAAGAATACACTTTAATGTATTGTATGGGCGACAGTAGCATTGGCCTTTAAGCTGGAAGGTCGTGGGTTCGAGCCCATCACGGGACCTGCTCCCACTGATGTCTGCTGTTGTTGTGTCCTTGGGCAAGACACTTAACCCCACGTTGCCTGAAGCCCCTGCTGAAAGACCAAGACTGTGGCACCACTGATGTAGCGGCCATCTTCCCATGGACTCACCCCCTGCAGAGGATCAGAGGGACTGGTGCTGTGAGCATTAGGTGACAGCTCTCATTGCCACCCCCGACCCAGAAATGGACCAATGCATTGTCAACACAGGGGGGTGGAAACTTCTGATCAGGGGGAGTCTTGTCGTTATCATACTTGTATCTGTATCTCCAGGCTCCTTCGTTGAAGATACAAATAACAAAACATACAAACCCTTGTTAGAAAGAAAACACTAGAAAGCAGTAAAAGTGAGACAGAAATGTTGCTTCAGTCCTTTTCTGTGGGACGTCTCTTCGGACCAATCAAACCCGGGGGGGGGCTGTGTTACCATGGACCCTCACACAATATAATGTGCATCAATGTATTCAGAAAAACAACAACAGAAAGGCTGAGAGCAAAGTCTGTTCCAGAGGACATTATGACGCAGTGCCTCCAACACGAAGCTGATCAAAGCTGATCAAAGCTGATCAAAGCTGACGGTACATGGGAAAATGTCCTCATTAATGCCCCACTGCTCTCCTCGTGTCGGACTTATTCTTATTTATAATCACTGCGTAATAGTATCTCGGGGGCGACAGTAGCTCAGTTGGTAGAGCATTGGCCTTTGGGCCTGGAGATCGTGAGTGCGATTCCCACCATGGGACCTACTCCACCAGCGAGGGACTGGTGCTATGAGCGTTGGGTGGCAGCTCTCATTGCCCCCCCCCCCCCCCCCCCCCCCCCCCGACCCAGAAATGGACAAAGGGGTTGAAAATGAAATGAAAAAAAAAATGAAATGAAATAGTATCTCTTTGTGCGAAGTAAAAAAGATCTTTAGGTTCTAAATCAACAGCAACACATTTTGGCTCCATCCCCTGACTGGCACTGGCCTCAGTATAAGACTAATGGTGCGTCCAGACCAGTGGGGGAGGGTCCCACATGCTGCAATACCACCCCGGGCCTGTGGGGGTGGACCCAGAAGTAGAATTAGCCAATGCTAACATATAGCATTAGCAGACCTCTCAAAAACGTCTTTACAGGATGGACCAAAAGTTGGCTCTTGGCCCAAAGCTCCGTTCCACATGTGTGTCAATGCTGAGGGGGGTGAATTTCTTTGGTCCACTCTAGTTTAGTTGCGGGGAATTTTTGAAGTCTCTCGTTCAAATGAATGGAGCTGCTCCGGCTGACACATGCGCAGATGCGTTTTTTCACAATTTCTTGTGGGCGGGACCACTCGCGGCCATTTTGGATTGCTCCAGTAGAGCAAATCTTTTGGCCCATTAGTTAGAACGGCGGAGATAGGCGTGACTCTGTCCGTTAATATATACAGTCTATGGTTCAGACCGGATCATGCGTCGGCTTTCAATGCAAAGTCAATGGTGGCCTCCGTGAACACATACTGCTGTTATATAAAGTCACCTCCGTGAACACATACTGCTGTTATATAAAGTCACCTCCGTGAACACATACTGCTGTTATATAAAGTCACCTCCATGAACACATACTGCTGTTATATAAAGTCACCTCCGTGAACACATACTGCTGTTATATAAAGTCACCGTGAACACATACTGCTGTTATATAAAGTCACCTCCATGAACACATACTGCTGTTATATAAAGTCACCTCCATGAACACATACTGCTGTTATATAAAGTCACCTCCGTGAACACATACTGCTGTTATATAAAGTCACCTCCGTGAACACATACTGCTGTTATATAAAGTAACCTCCGTGAACACATACTGCTGTTATATAAAGTAACCGTGAACACATACTGCTGTTATATAAAGTCACCTCCGTGAACACATACAACTGTTATATAAAGTCACCTCCGTGAACACATACTGCTGTTATATAAAGTCACCTCCGTGAACACACACTGCTGTTATATAAAGTCACCTCCGTGAACACATACTGCTGTTATATAAAGTCACCTCCGTGAACACATACTACTGTTATATAAAGTCACCTCCGTGAACACATACTACTGTTATATAAAGTCACTGTGAACACATACTACTGTTATATAAAGTCACCTCCATGAACACATACTGCTGTTATATAAAGTCACCGTGAACACATACTGCTGTTATATAAAGTCACCTCCGTGAACACATACTGCTGTTATATAAAGTCACCACCGTGAACACATACTGCTGTTATATAAAGTCACCTCCGTGAACACATACTGCTGTTATATAAAGTCACCTCCGTGAACACATACTGCTGTTATATAAAGTCACCTCTGTGAACACACACTGCTGTTATATAAAGTCACCTCTGTGAACACATACTGCTGTTATATAAAGTCACCTCCATGAACACATACTACTGTTATATAAAGTCACCTCCGTGAACACATACTGCTGTTATATAAAGTCACCTCCGTGAACACATACTACTGTTATATAAAGTCACTGTGAACACATACTACTGTTATATAAAGTCACCTCCGTGAACACATACTACTGTTATATAAAGTCACCTCCGTGAACACATACTACTGTTATATAAAGTCACCTCCATGAACACATACTGCTGTTATATAAAGTCACCTCCGTGAACACATACTACTGTTATATAAAGTCACTGTGAACACATACTACTGTTATATAAAGTCACCTCCATGAACACATACTGCTGTTATATAAAGTCACCTCCGTGAACACATACTACTGTTATATAAAGTCACTGTGAACACATACTGCTGTTATATAAAGTCACCTCCATGAACACATACTGCTGTTATATAAAGTCACCTCCGTGAACACATACTGCTGTTATATAAAGTCACCTCCGTGAACACATACTACTGTTATATAAAGTCACTGTGAACACATACTACTGTTATATAAAGTCACCTCCATGAACACATACTGCTGTTATATAAAGTCACCTCCGTGAACACATACTGCTGTTATATAAAGTCACCTCCGTGAACACACACTGCTGTTATATAAAGTCACCTCCGTGAACACATACTGCTGTTATATAAAGTCACCTCCGTGAACACATACTGCTGTTATATAAAGTCACCTCCGTGAACACATACTGCTGTTATATAAAGTCACCTCCATGAACACATACTGCTGTTATATAAAGTCACCTCCGTGAACACATACTACTGTTGTATAAAGTCACCTCCGTGAACACATACTGCTGTTATATAAAGTCACCTCCGTGAACACATACTGCTGTTATATAAAGTCACCTCCGTGAACACATACTGCTGTTATATAAAGTCACTGTGAACACATACTACTGTTATATAAAGTCACCTCCGTGAACACATACTGCTGTTGTATAAAGTCACCTCCGTGAACACATACTACTGTTATATAAAGTCACCTCCGTGAACACATACTGCTGTTATATAAAGTCACCTCCGTGAACACATACTGCTGTTATATAAAGTCACCTCCGTGAACACATACTACTGTTATATAAAGTCACCTCCGTGAACACATACTACTGTTATATAAAGTCACCTCCGTGAACACATACTGCTGTGTGTCTGTGGTTGTGTATCTGTGGTTGTGTGTCTGTGGTTGTGTATCTGTGGTTTGTGTCTGCGGTTGTGTATCTGTGGTTGTGTGTCTGTGGTTGTGTGTCTGTGGTTGTGTATCTGTGGTTGTGTATCTGTGGTTGTGTGTCTGTGGTTGTGTATCTGGGGTTGTGTGTCTACGGTTGTGTGTCTGTGGTTGTGTATCTGGGGTTGTGTGTCTGCGGTTGTGTGTCTGTGGTTGTGTGTCTGTGGTTGTGTATCTGTGGTTGTGTATCTGTGGTTGTGTGTCTGCGGTTGTGTATCTGTGGTTGTGTATCTGTGGTTGTGTGTCTGTGGTTGTGTGTCTGCGGTTGTGTATCTGTGGTTGTGTGTCTGTGGGTCTGTGGTTGTGTATCTGTGGTTGTGTATCTGTGGTTGTGTATCTGTGGTTGTGTGTCTGTGGTTGTGTGTCTGCGGTTGTGTGTCTGTGGTTGTGTATCTGTGGTTGTGTATCTGTGGTTGTGTGTCTGTGGTTGTGTGTCTGTGGTTGTGTGTCTGTGGTTGTGTATCTGTGGTTGTGTATCTGTGGTTGTGTGTCTGCGGTTGTGTATCTGTGGTTGTGTATCTGTGGTTGTGTGTCTGTGGTTGTGTGTCTGCGGTTGTGTATCTGTGGTTGTGTGTCTGTGGGTCTGTGGTTGTGTATCTGTGGTTGTGTATCTGTGGTTGTGTATCTGTGGTTGTGTGTCTGTGGTTGTGTGTCTGCGGTTGTGTGTCTGTGGTTGTGTATCTGTGGTTGTGTATCTGTGGTTGTGTGTCTGTGGTTGTGTGTCTGTGGTTGTGTGTCTGTGGTTGTGTATCTGCGGTTGTGTGTCTGCGGTTGTGTATCTGTGGTTGTGTATCTGCGGTTGTGTGTCTGTGGTTGTGTATCTGCGGTTGTGTATCTGTGGTTGTGTATCTGTGGTTGTGTGTCTGCGGTTGTGTGTCTGCGGTTGTGTGTCTGCGGTTGTTTATCTGTGGTTGTGTGTCTGTGGTTGTGTATCTGTGGTTGTGTATCTGTGGTTGTGTGTCTGTGGTTGTGTGTCTGCGGTTGTGTGTCTGTGGTTGTGTATCTGTGGTTGTGTATCTGTGGTTGTGTGTCTGTGGTTGTGTGTCTGTGGTTGTGTATCTGCGGTTGTGTGTCTGCGGTTGTGTATCTGTGGTTGTGTATCTGCGGTTGTGTGTCTGTGGTTGTGTATCTGCGGTTGTGTATCTGTGGTTGTGTATCTGTGGTTGTGTGTCTGCGGTTGTGTGTCTGCGGTTGTGTGTCTGCGGTTGTTTATCTGTGGTTGTGTGTCTGTGGTTGTGTATCTGTGGTTGTGTATCTGTGGTAGTGTGTCTGTGGTTGTGTGTCTGTGGTTGTGTATCTGTGGTTGTGTATCTGTGGTTGTGTGTCTGTGGTTGTGTATCTGTGGTTGTGTGTCTATGGTTGTGTATCTGTGGTTGTGTGTCTGTGCTTGTGTATCTGTGGTTGTGTGTCTGTGGTTGTGTGTCTGTGGTTGTGTGTCTGTGGTTGTGTATCTGTGGTTTTGTGTCTGTGGTTGTGTGTCTGTGGTTGTGTGTCTGTGGTTGTGTGTCTGTGGTTGTGTATCTGTGGTTTTGTGTCTGTGGTTGTGTGTCTGTGGTTGTGTATCTGTGGTTGTGTGTCTGTGGTTGTGTGTCTGTGGTTGTGTATCTGTGGTTTTGTGTCTGTGGTTGTGTGTCTGTGGTTGTGTATCTGTGGTTGTGTGTCTGTGGTTGTGTGTCTGTGGTTGTGTATCTGCGGTTGTGTGTCTGCGGTTGTGTGTCTGTGGTTGTGTATCTGTGGTTGTGTATCTGTGGTTGTGTGTCTGTGGTTGTGTATCTGTGGTTGTGTATCTGTGGTTGTGTGTCTGCGGTTGTGTATCTGTGGTTGTGTGTCTGTGGGTCTGTGGTTGTGTATCTGTGGTTGTGTATCTGTGGTTGTGTGTCTGTGGTTGTGTGTCTGCGGTTGTGTGTCTGTGGTTGTGTATCTGTGGTTGTGTATCTGTGGTTGTGTGTCTGTGGTTGTGTGTCTGTGGTTGTGTGTCTGTGGTTGTGTATCTGCGGTTGTGTGTCTGCGGTTGTGTATCTGTGGTTGTGTATCTGCGGTTGTGTGTCTGTGGTTGTGTGTCTGTGGTTGTGTGTCTGTGGTTGTGTATCTGTGGTTGTGTGTCTGCGGTTGTGTGTCTGTGGTTGTGTATCTGTGGTTGTGTGTCTGTGGTTGTGTATCTGTGGTTGTGTGTCTGTGGTTGTGTGTCTGTGGTTGTGTGTCTGTGGTTGTGTATCTGCGGTTGTGTATCTGTGGTTGTGTATCTGTGGTTGTGTGTCTGCGGTTGTGTGTCTGCGGTTGTGTGTCTGCGGTTGTTTATCTGTGGTTGTGTGTCTGTGGTTGTGTATCTGTGGTTGTGTATCTGTGGTAGTGTGTCTGTGGTTGTGTGTCTGTGGTTGTGTATCTGTGGTTGTGTATCTGTGGTTGTGTGTCTGTGGTTGTGTATCTGTGGTTGTGTGTCTATGGTTGTGTATCTGTGGTTGTGTGTCTGTGCTTGTGTATCTGTGGTTGTGTGTCTGTGGTTGTGTGTCTGTGGTTGTGTGTCTGTGGTTGTGTATCTGTGGTTTTGTGTCTGTGGTTGTGTGTCTGTGGTTGTGTGTCTGTGGTTGTGTGTCTGTGGTTGTGTATCTGTGGTTTTGTGTCTGTGGTTGTGTGTCTGTGGTTGTGTATCTGTGGTTGTGTGTCTGTGGTTGTGTGTCTGTGGTTGTGTATCTGCGGTTGTGTGTCTGTGGTTGTGTGTCTGTGGTTGTGTATCTGTGGTTTTGTGTCTGTGGTTGTGTGTCTGTGGTTGTGTATCTGTGGTTGTGTGTCTGTGGTTGTGTGTCTGTGGTTGTGTATCTGCGGTTGTGTGTCTGCGGTTGTGTGTCTGTGGTTGTGTATCTGTGGTTGTGTATCTGTGGTTGTGTGTCTGTGGTTGTGTATCTGTGGTTGTGTATCTGTGGTTGTGTGTCTGTGGTTGTGTATCTGTGGTTGTGTATCTGTGGTTGTGTGTCTGTGGTTGTGTATCTGGGGTTGTGTGTCTGCGGTTGTGTGTCTGTGGTTGTGTGTCTGTGGTTGTGTGTCTGTGGTTGTGTATCTGCGGTTGTGTGTCCGTGGTGAAGGACTCTGTGTTTCAGTAGAGCGCCCTCCACTGGACAAACAACACAAGAGTCCGATCATTCAGCAGAAACGGGACTTTTTCGTAACACATTGGTACAGTTCATAAACAGATGAATGAAGCGTGTCTTACCGTCGTCCATGTCGGGCACGATGTTGACCCGTGTGCTGGAGTAGCGCCGCCCCACGCCGCCGCCCATCGGCGTGCTCAGGCTCACGTTGAAGCTCTCCTCGTCCTCGTACAGAGAGTCGTCGATGATGAGGACGCGACAGGCCCCTTCTCCTCCTCGCCACGGTCGAAGCGCAGCAGACTATGGTGGTCCTCGGCTCGGGAGATGTAGTCCGAGTACGACAGCACCGTGGTGGGCACGGTCCCGGTGGCGGTCACTGGAGAGAGGCGGAGAAAACACCTTTAATACAGGACAAGTCTTTTTTTGATATAGGACAAGTGTACTTAGAGTGTGTACAATAATCTGTGGTAAAACATGTAAAGATGGAAATAACACTGAAAAAAACACTGAAAAGAGTTATTAGGTTAGCATTGTCCCCCCTCCCTGGAGGCCACCAGGGAGGGGGGACAATGCCCTCACCCCTAACTGACCAATCAAGAGTGACCTGCGGTGTATACAGGTGGGAGCTAGCTTGTGACTAGCCTTCTTGGTCTGGGAATGCCACCCACCAACATCATGTAGATAGGAGGAGCCAAAAATGAAACCCAGGCCTGGTCCACACAGAGTCACAGCTGCACTTTGAGCTACAGGAAGCAGAGACCTGAGACCAGGACTAGTGTTATGGTACTTCCTGGTTCTAGTCAGGACTCGAGCTGCAGGATGTTGACTATACTGCAGCTGTTTTCAGGCCCTGTTCTGTTTAGCTCAGGGTGGATTTCAAGGCACTCCTCAGTCTTGTGCTCTTCGGTCGTTCTGAAATCTCATTTTAAGAAGTGGGGTTCTGGACCTGCCTCCCTCCAGAACTGTGAGCCCCAAACGGAAATGTCAGTCTCCACAATCTATACAATACAATTTATTCTTGTATCGCCCTAAATCACAACAGTATCATCTCAGAGACTGAACAAAACCGTTGAAATCACCAACACAGATCAGAGAATCAACAGTTAAGACACAGAAATACACACAAATGTATTGGTCCATGTGGAGAGACCAATGTCCATCTGACCTGCAGACAGAGACTGGCTTCAGACACAGGGACCAGAGCTCTGTGTTATTATCACTGTTGTTTTTCAGTCTGTTATACTGCCTTTGTGGAGCAGCTTTTTGGGCTGTTGGAAAGTCCTGTACAAATGTATTTTGATTGATGGATGTATTGTGGGCCGCACCTCCCCCTCTGTCTGCAACTCTGCCTCCTCTGCTGCTGCTGCTGCTTATTACTATTGTTATCTGCTTTTAGGATGATTGTTTTGCTTGTTTAGATGGATGTGTTTCTGCTGATACTGGACACCTGCATGTCTCCAACAGGGGTCAATGAAGTCCTGGTTCTTTTAAGCACATTTATGGAGGTGTACAGACAGTGTAAGTAATCTTTATTTATTTATTTATATACCGCCTTTTCACTGCAGATCTGAGTCTCAAAGCGGTTTACAATTGTTATTTTTGGGCACTTGTCTCTCACTCCACACAGAGATGGGAGCGGGGCCAGTACAGGAGGCACATGCCAGAACTATTGGACATATTTTTTGTGGTAGGGGAAACCGGAGTACCCGGAGGAAACCTACGCAGACACGGGGAGAACATGCAAACTCCACTCAGAAAAGCCCTGGTCCAACCGGGATTCGAACCCAGGACCTTCTTGCTGAGAGGCGAGAGTGCTATCCACTCAGCCACCGTGCCGCCAGTGTTGGTCCTGCTCCTTATGGACCAATGATTTCTATGACTTGAATTCTCTGATCTGTTGTTTTTGTATTTATTATTATCTCCATTATAGCTGTATAAAAACAGATATTCTTCCTGGAGTCGTTGTCTCACATACATTTTGAAAAAAACATTTCGCTCCTTGGCGTCACATGTGAGAAACAGAAATTATTACATTAAAAACACAAAAACAGAACACAGAATACAACAAAACAAATAATACTAACAAAAATTCAACTTACATAAACAGTTGTTGGTAATTAAACAAGTCAAAGTTATTTTCTGTTGATATACAGTATGTAAAAGTATATGCAGGTTCAAAATTAAAATAAATAAATGAACAACTTTGGCTTATCCTGAGAGACGGCTGCTGCTGCGATTTAGGGCGATTTACAAACATTGAATTGGATTGAATTCTTTTGACCATAAACCTCTCTTTGAACAGAAAGTAGGTTATATCCCGGTCCGGAAGAAGAAAATGAAACACAATCTTCTACAGTTGAACGGTGGAAGTAGCTTAACTTTCCTCACATCCTCTGCTTCCTGCACAGAGCGGCACAGAGCGGCACAGAGCGGCACAGAGCAGCGGCACAGAGCAGCGGCACAGAGCGGCACAGAGCAGCGGCACAGAGCAGCGGCACAGAGCGGCACAGAGCGGCACAGAGCAGCGGCACAGAGCAGCGGCACAGAGCGGCACAGAGCGGCACAGAGCGGCACAGAGCAGAGCGGCACAGAGCGGCACAGAGCGGCACAGAGCGGCACAGAGCAGCACAGAGCGGCACAGAGCGGCTCAGAGCGGCACAGAGCAGCACAGAGCGGCACAGAGCAGCACAGAGCGGCACAGAGCGGCACAGAGCGGCACAGAGCGGCACAGAGCGGCACAGAGCGGCTCAGAGCGGCACAGAGCGGCACAGAGCGGCACAGAGCGGCTCAGAGCGGCACAGAGCGGCACAGAGCGGCACAGAGCGGCTCAGAGCGGCACAGAGCGGCACAGATCGGCACAGAGCGGCACAGAGCGGCACAGAGCGGCACAGAGCGGCACAGAGCGGCACAGAGCGGCACAGAGCGGCACAGAGCGGCACAGAGCGGCTCAGAGCGGCACAGAGCGGCACAGATCGGCACAGAGCGGCACAGAGCGGCACAGAGCGGCACAGAGCGGCACAGAGCGGCACAGAGCGGCACAGAGCGGCACAGAGCGGCACAGAGCGGCTCAGAGCGGCACAGAGCGGCACAGATCGGCACAGAGCGGCACAGAGCGGCACAGAGCGGCACAGAGCGGCACAGAGCGGCACAGAGCGGCACAGAGCGGCACAGAGCGGCACAGAGCGGCACAGAGCGGCACAGAGCGGCACAGAGCGGCACAGAGCGGCACAGAGCGGCACAGAGCGGCTCAGAGCGGCTGCAGGTGGACGGCTGTCAGAGACGTCCTGATGCAACACGGATCAACACCTCCACAGACACACACCACAGACACACACTATGGACACACACTGAAGGCCCACACTACAGAAACACGCTGTATAACACACCGCAGACACACACTATGGACGCACACAGACACACACCGCAGACACACACTACAGACACACACTACAGACACACACCGCAGACACACACTACAGACACACAATAGACAGACACCGCATCACACACTACATAACACACTACAGACACACACCGCAGACCCACACTACACACATGCTGCATCACACACCGCAGACAGACACTTTACACACAATAGACACACACAGACACACACCGCAGACACACACCGCAGACACACACTACAGACACACACAGACACACACCGCAGACACACAGTACAGACACACAATAGACAGACACCGCATCACACACTACATAACACACTACAGACACACACCGCAGACCCACACTACACACATGCTGCATCACACACCGCAGACAGACACTATACACAATAGACAGACACCGCATCACACACTGTATATCACACTACAGACACACACCGCAGACACACACCACAGACACACACAGACACACACACACAGAGACACCACAGACACACACCACAGACACACCACAGACACACACAGACACACACAGAGACACACACAGAGACACACACAGACACACACAGAGACACACACTGCCACACACAGAGACTGGGGTGGAGAAGATTTGAGGACATTGACAAACCAGAGGAACAAGTGACAAACTCTGACGTCACCGACACCGACCTACAACACCCGCCTCCCCCGCTCTCTGATTGGTCGGAGAGGATTCAACCGAGGAAACTGCAGCCAATAGGATCAGACCCAGACGTACATGTAGGAAATGACCATGGACCAGAGGTTACACATGGTAAGACCAGACGTACATGTAGGAAATGATCATGGACCAGAGTTTACACATGGTAAGACCAGACGTACATGTAGGAAATGATCATGGACCAGAGGTTACACATGGTAAGACCAGACGTACATGTAGGAAATGATCATGGACCAGAGTTTACACATGGTAAGACCAGACGTACATGTAGGAAATGACCATGGACCAGAGGTTACACATGGTAAGACCAGACGTACATGTAGGAAATGACCATGGACCAGAGGTTACACATGGTAAGACCAGACGTACATGTAGGAAATGATCATGGACCAGAGTTTACACATGGTAAGACCAGATGTACATGTAGGAGATGATCATGGACCAGAGTTTACACATGGTAAGACCAGACGTACATGTAGGAAATGATCATGGACCAGAGTTTACACATGGTAAGACCAGATGTACATGTAGGAGATGATCATGGACCAGAGTTTACACATGGTAAGACCAGATGTACATGTAGGAGATGATCGCGGACCAGAGTTTAGACATGGTAAGACCAGACGTACATGTAGGAAATGATCATGGACCAGAGTTTACACATGGTAAGACCAGATGTACATGTAGGAGATGATCATGGACCAGAGTTTACACATGGTAAGACCAGACGTACATGTAGGAAATGATCATGGACCAGAGTTTACACATGGTAAGACCAGACGTACATGTAGGAAATGATCATGGACCAGAGTTTACACATGGTAAGACCAGACGTACATGTAGGAAATGATCATGGACCAGAGTTTACACATGGTAAGACCAGACGTACATGTAGGAGATGACCATGGACCAGAGTTTACACATGGTAAGACCAGACGTACATGTAGGAGATGACCATGGACCAGAGTTTACACATGGTAAGACCAGACGTACATGTAGGAAATGACCATGGACCAGAGTTTACACATGGTAAGACCAGACGTACATGTAGGAAATGATCATGGACCAGAGTTTACACATGGTAAGACCAGACGTACATGTAGGAAATGACCATGGACCAGAGTTTACACATGGTAAGACCAGACGTACATGTAGGAAATGATCATGGACCAGAGTTGCTAAGACCAGGGTAGTGTGATCCAAACAACAAACTTTTCCAATACTTTTCTTCCTCCAAACTCCTGTGACCTGGATCGGAGCACGGTCCTGGACGGTCCTGGACGGTCCTGGACGGTCCTGGACAGTCCTGGGTCAGGTTCTTCCGCTCCGGCTGAACTTTTGGCGGATTAGAACGTTGCAAACACACCAAAGCCTAACTCACAGCGGCTGACAGTGAACTATGAAGCGAGCAGGAGACGGACAGAGGCGTTCTCGGGCCCCGGAGTATCGCCCGGAGTATCGCCCGGAGTATCGCCCGGAGTATCGCCCGGAGTATCGCCCGGAGTATCGCCCGGAGTATCGCCCGGAGTATCGCCCGGAGTATCGCCCGCTGTGATGTATTTGCTCTGTTACAGGGAATCCATCATGTCTTACACCTGGGATCTCTGGAAGCAGCAGCAGCTGAGCAGACTGTGGGGATAAGGCAAGATTAAAGAGCCCCATTGTGTTCCAGGCGTCCAGCGGAATCTACCAGGCTCACGTTTTTGAATATTATAAATAGTTTGCTTTCTGTGTTTATATGGCCATGTTAAACCATAGATTTTTGTTTATACTTTGTTTGTTTGTTTTTTTCATTGTGTTTGTCTGTTTTGTTTTTTGCTTTATATTATTTATATTACTTAATTGCATTTAATTACCTTGTTTTCTCACTTGTGCCATTGCTTGAAATAAATTAATACATGAAAAAAATAAAAATGAATGAATAATCGGAGCTGGACGGGTTTGGTCTGGTTTGGTTTGTGTGTTTTTAGAGTGAGGGAGAAGGCAAGTTTACTGATTACTTTCAAACCCAGCTCTATCTGTGAACTTTGAACCCCCGACGAGCCCTTCCCCCGCAGCCTCAGGTCTCGGGCAGGTCCCTGTGGACTGTTCCGAGGCCGAGCCTTCTCTGTCCGTGCTCCTCGACTTTGGAACCATCTGCTCGAGGAGATAAAGCTCCATCAGTCTCCTCTTTTAAATGTCTTCTTAAAACCTGCTTTAATAAAACTTTTAAAGCTTCGTTTTAAACTTTTTATAACACATTTTGTATTTTACAGTCTGCTTTATCTTTCTGTATCTACTGTTCTTTCTCATTATTTTGACTGTGTATCATATTTTTATTGTTTATTAATGACTGAATGTGCAGCGCTTTGTAAACATTATTTTTGAAAAGTGCTATACAAAAAAAGATGATTATTATTATTATACAGTTCATACACAACTCATAGTGTGTTTCAAAATAAGAGAAAAGAAAGAAATGTACAGGAAGAAGATACAATCCTTCAGTCGTTGCAGCAAAACAGAAGTGTTTTAACCTGGATTTGAACATTTGAACAGAGAATAAAACTGTCTCACATTTACAGGAAGACTGTTCTAGGATTTATCATTATAAATCTCAAACGCTGCCTCCTCATGTTTAGTCCTGACTCTGGGACCAGCAGGAGGCCAGTCCCTGTGCTCCTCAGAGTCCCAGCAGGAGGCCAGTCCCTGTGCTCCTCAGAACCCCAACAGGAGGCCAGTCCCTGTGCTCCTCAGAGTCCCAGCAGGAGGTCAGTCCCTGTGCTCCTCAGAGTCCCAGCAGGAGGCCAGTCCCTGTGCTCCTCAGAGTTCCAGCAGGAGGCCAGTCCCTGTGCTCCTCAGAGTCCCAGCAGGAGGCCGGTCCCTGTGCTCCTCAGAGTCCCAACAGGAGGTCAGTCCCTGTGCTCCTCAGAGTTGGTTCATGGGGCTCTTAAAGTCTGCTCTCTGAGCCACAGGTGCAGAGACCTAGGACCAGGACTAATGTGATGGTACTTCCTGGTTCTAGTCCGGACTAATGTGATGGTACTTCCTGGTTCTAGTCCGGACTAATGTGATGGTACTTCCTGGTTCTAGTCCGGACTAATGTGATGGTACTTCCGGTTCTAGTCCGGACTAATCTGATGGTACTTCCTGGTTCTAGTCCGGACTAATGTGATGGTACTTCCTGGTTCTAGTCCGGACTAATGTGATGGTACTTCCGGTTCTAGTCCGGACTAATCTGATGGTACTTCCTGGTTCTAGTCCGGACTAATGTGATGGTACTTCCTGGTTCTAGTCCGGACTAATGTGATGGTACTTCCTGGTTCTAGTCCGGACTAATGTGATGGTACTTCCTGGTTCTAGTCCGGACTAATGTGATGGTACTTCCTGGTTCTAGTCCGGACTAATGTGATGGTACTTCCTGGTTCTAGTCCGGACTAATGTGATGGTACTTCCTGGTTCTAGTCCGGACTAATCTGATGGTACTTCCTGGTTCTAGTCCGGACTAATGTGATGGTACTTCCTGGTTCTAGTCCGGACTAATATGATGGTACTTCCTGGTTCTAGTCCGGACTAATCTGATGGTACTTCCTGGTTCTAGTCCGGACTAATGTGATGGTACTTCCTGGTTCTAGTCCGGACTAATCTGATGGTACTTCCTGGTTCTAGTCCGGACTAATCTGATGGTACTTCCTGGTTCTAGTCCGGACTAATGTGATGGTACTTCCTGGTTCTAGTCCGGACTAATATGATGGTACTTCCTGGTTCTAGTCCGGACTAATGTGATGGTACTTCCTGGTTCTAGTCCGGACTAATGTGATGGTACTTCCTGGTTCTAGTCCGGACTAATGTGATGGTACTTCCTGGTTCTAGTCCGGACTAATGTGATGGTACTTCCTGGTTCTAGTCCGGACTAATGTGATGGTACTTCCTGGTTCTAGTCCGGACTAATGTGATGGTACTTCCGGTTCTAGTCCGGACTAATCTGATGGTACTTCCTGGTTCTAGTCCGGACTAATGTGATGGTACTTCCTGGTTCTAGTCCGGACTAATGTGATGGTACTTCCTGGTTCTAGTCCGGACTAATGTGATGGTACTTCCTGGTTCTAGTCCGGACTAATGTGATGGTACTTCCTGGTTCTAGTCCGGACTAATGTGATGGTACTTCCTGGTTCTAGTCCGGACTAATGTGATGGTACTTCCTGGTTCTAGTCCGGACTAATGTGATGGTACTTCCTGGTTCTAGTCCGGACTAATGTGATGGTACTTCCTGGTTCTAGTCCGGACTAATCTGATGGTACTTCCTGGTTCTAGTCCGGACTAATTGATGGTACTTCCCTGGTTCTAGTCCGGACTAATGTGATGGTACTTCCTGGTTCTAGTCCGGACTAATCTGATGGTACTTCCTGGTTCTAGTCCGGACTAATGTGATGGTACTTCCTGGTTCTAGTCCGGACTAATGTGATGGTACTTCCTGGTTCTAGTCCGGACTAATATGATGGTACTTCCTGGTTCTAGTCCGGACTAATGTGATGGTACTTCCTGGTTCTAGTCCGGACTAATGTGATGGTAACTTCCTGGTTCTAGTCCGGACTAATGTGATGGTACTTCCTGGTTCTAGTCCGGACTAATGTGATGGTACTTCCTGGTTCTAGTCCGGACTAATGTGATGGTACTTCCTGGTTCTAGTCCGGACTAATGTGATGGTACTTCCTGGTTCTAGTCCGGACTAATCTGATGGTACTTCCTGGTTCTAGTCCGGACTAATGTGATGGTACTTCCTGGTTCTAGTCCGGACTAATGTGATGGTACTTCCTGGTTCTAGTCCGGACTAATGTGATGGTACTTCCTGGTTCTAGTCCGGACTAATGTGATGGTACTTCCTGGTTCTAGTCCGGACTAATGTGATGGTACTTCCTGGTTCTAGTCCGGACTAATGTGATGGTACTTCCTGGTTCTAGTCCGGACTAATGTGATGGTACTTCCTGGTTCTAGTCCGGACTAATGTGATGGTACTTCCTGGTTCTAGTCCGGACTAATGTGATGGTACTTCCTGGTTCTAGTCCGGACTAATGTGATGGTACTTCCTGGTTCTAGTCCGGACTAATGTGATGGTACTTCCTGGTTCTAGTCCGGACTAATGTGATGGTACTTCCTGGTTCTAGTCCGGACTAATGTGATGGTACTTCCTGGTTCTAGTCCGGACTAATGTGATGGTACTTCCTGGTTCTAGTCCGGACTAATGTGATGGTACTTCCTGGTTCTAGTCCGGACTAATGTGATGGTACTTCCTGGTTCTAGTCCGGACTAATGTGATGGTACTTCCTGGTTCTAGTCCGGACTAATGTGATGGTACTTCCTGGTTCTAGTCCGGACTAATGTGATGGTACTTCCTGGTTCTAGTCCGGACTAATGTGATGGTACTTCCTGGTTCTAGTCCGGACTAATGTGATGGTACTTCCTGGTTCTAGTCCGGACTAATGTGATGGTACTTCCTGGTTCTAGTCCGGACTAATGTGATGGTACTTCCTGGTTCTAGTCCGGACTAATGTGATGGTACTTCCTGGTTCTAGTCCGGACTAATGTGATGGTACTTCCTGGTTCTAGTCCGGACTAATGTGATGGTACTTCCTGGTTCTAGTCCGGACTAATGTGATGGTACTTCCTGGTTCTAGTCCGGACTAATGTGATGGTACTTCCTGGTTCTAGTCCGGACTAATGTGATGGTACTTCCTGGTTCTAGTCCGGACTAATGTGATGGTACTTCCTGGTTCTAGTCCGGACTAATGTGATGGTACTTCCTGGTTCTAGTCCGGACTAATGTGATGGTACTTCCTGGTTCTAGTCCGGACTAATGTGATGGTACTTCCTGGTTCTAGTCCGGACTAATGTGATGGTACTTCCTGGTTCTAGTCCGGACTAATGTGATGGTACTTCCTGGTTCTAGTCCGGACTAATGTGATGGTACTTCCTGGTTCTAGTCCGGACTAATGTGATGGTACTTCCTGGTTCTAGTCCGGACTAATGTGATGGTACTTCCTGGTTCTAGTCCGGACTAATGTGATGGTACTTCCTGGTTCTAGTCCGGACTAATGTGATGGTACTTCCTGGTTCTAGTCCGGACTAATGTGATGGTACTTCCTGGTTCTAGTCCGGACTAATGTGATGGTACTTCCTGGTTCTAGTCCGGACTAATGTGATGGTACTTCCTGGTTCTAGTCCGGACTAATGTGATGGTACTTCCTGGTTCTAGTCCGGACTAATGTGATGGTACTTCCTGGTTCTAGTCCGGACTAATGTGATGGTACTTCCTGGTTCTAGTCCGGACTAATGTGATGGTACTTCCTGGTTCTAGTCCGGACTAATGTGATGGTACTTCCTGGTTCTAGTCCGGACTAATGTGATGGTACTTCCTGGTTCTAGTCCGGACTAATGTGATGGTACTTCCTGGTTCTAGTCCGGACTAATGTGATGGTACTTCCTGGTTCTAGTCCGGACTAATGTGATGGTACTTCCTGGTTCTAGTCCGGACTAATGTGATGGTACTTCCTGGTTCTAGTCCGGACTAATGTGATGGTACTTCCTGGTTCTAGTCCGGACTAATGTGATGGTACTTCCTGGTTCTAGTCCGGACTAATGTGATGGTACTTCCTGGTTCTAGTCCGGACTAATGTGATGGTACTTCC